TAGCAAGTATGACTAAAGAGAGGGAAAGTGCAGAGTTGAAACAGCAAGTGTCTTGCACTCTGAAGAGCACAGCACTATTACCAGTTACCAGAAGTCTTCTCTAAGTTAATTACTTAATTTTTTTTCTTTCTTTTCAGGACACAATCTCCCAGAAGTCGGTAGATATCCATGATTCCATGCAGCCTCGATCTTCAGATGGACGCCCCTATCAGCCCAGCACGGGCGCCACGGCAGCGGAAGAAACGAGTAAAGCCCGGCCAGCAGCAAGTGCGTGCTCTGCAGGGTTTGCCGTTTAGTGTCTGTTTAGAACCGTGTGTAGCAGATGTTTGATACATTAGTCACAGCCCCAGCTGTGACTTCAGAAACCTGATGTGAAGAAATCACATTGTTTAATTTTTTGTCTTCATGTAGTATGACAGAATTCTCTTGGACTCCCGTGGGTCCACATTTTTTACCTGTGTTTTAAAACTCTAGTTCAACTTCAAGCTTCTAGGCTTTTACCCAAAGCAAAATATTAAAAATAGTAGTCTTACAGTGATATGTGAGATTTCTTTTCTTAGGAGCAGGGATTTTTCAGCACAAAATGCAACAGAAGCAGTAGCTGAAAAAGAATTCTGTCTGTGATTTGAAGAGAGTGTATCAAACCCTTATTTAAGATCTTTGTGCAGTTACGTTTCATTGCTTAAAATGGTCATGTGGTACATTAGTATTTGCCACAGCTGCAAGCACGCATGATGCCAATGCTATGCTTAAGCATCCTGCCTGGGAACAGCCTCTGGCTCATGCTATTGCACTGAAGGTCCAAGTCACTCATTTTGGTGGTTTTTAAGTACCACTGAACCAGGTTGATCCAATGTATCACAGACAACTTCAGGAAACAGTTTTTTAAGAAGTTCCAGTTGGTAACATGGTGATCTGTCCTGGTGTTAGTAATTCCAACAGGTGGATTCCAGGTTTGGTTTCCACACGTGCTTGAAGTTAAACTGTTCCTCAGCATGCCCTCAAAACAGGTCAGAAAAGTTCTTTAGTTAACAAGTAGTTTTCTTTCCTTTAAAGAATTTCCAGAACAGAAGTTATTTGCTGCTCTTTTGATCAAGTGTGTTGTACAGCTGGAACTCATTCAGACGATCGACAACATTGTGTTCTTCCCAGCAACTAGCAAAAAAGAGGATGCAGAGAATCTAGCAGCAGCACAAGTAAGTGGAACTGATAGGTACCTCTGTTTTTAACACCTTTTCCTCCAAAGGTTTTAAGATAAAGTTTCTTTCAGGTAACTCCTCTAGTATCTGCTAATTTAAAATTTTTACATGCGTTTGAGAATTTCCATTGGCCTGTTGAGATCTTTTACAACTCCTGTTAAATTGCATTTGCTGTGCCAGGGCAGCACTGTGGAGATTAAAACATGTATTGTTCAAAGGGATTTATGTAACTGGCAGGTGGATACTACCTATTTAATACAATGTTAAGTTTAAGTACAACTACAGATGTAAACAGGGTGGGATTGAGTTATTACAGGAACTTGCTGAAGACAGTTGTGAATTTTTAGTTCAAATCTTTTTCTTCCTTTTCCTCTTTTTTCAATAGAGAGATGCAGTAGACTTTGATGTCCATGTGGATACACAGGATCAAGGGATGTATCGTTTTCTAACATCACAACAGCTTTTCAAACTTCTCGATTGTCTGCTGGAATCTCACAGATTTGCTAAAGCATTTAATTCAAACAATGAACAAAGAACTGCTCTCTGGAAAGCAGGTGAGTCAATCCTCTTGAAGAAATACTTTGTGACAGTGGGAATTGACCCAAAATTAGCTCAGAACTACTTTGATGCCAAACGTAAAAGTTGAAGCTTTAGCTCTATAAGTGTAGGATTCCTAAAGGGAGGAGACCTTATCTGTGGAGGTGTAAATATTTCTAGTTCCCTAAAATTTAAGTTGTCACTGGGGTACAGCTGTCAGGCTGATTCTTGGCTGTAGATGTGAGTCCCATGCTTGAAAACTGCAGGCACAAACAGAGGTTTCACAGCCAGTTGTAAGCTGATAGTAAAAATGGGTTCCAACCACAATTACGGCACATATTAATAGGTTAATTTCTCATAACATTTAGTACAATGGAGCACTGCTAAAAATTAATTACCTGATGTGGTTCTTCTGTCTGTGTGCAGAAGATGCTTAGAAAGAAAAGAGGGCGACTGTAAGAAAGAATGTCAGCTGAACCAAAAATCTAAATGGATGTTTGGAATTCCTGTAGGTTTCAAAGGCAAATCCAAGCCCAACCTGCTGAAGCAGGAGACGAGCAGCCTGGCCTGTGGGCTGCGCATCCTGTTCCGCATGTACATGGACGAGAGCCGCACCAGCGCCTGGGAGGAAGTCCAGCAAAGGCTGCTGAAGTAAGGTCCTGAGCTGAGCCTGGAGCTGAGCCTGTTCTTGTTATTTCTGATGTCAAAGAAAGGGGGTGGGCTGTTCAAAAGGAGAGACCATCTCTGTTTACAGTAAAGTTGTAGAGCCAACACGTGTGTGTGGTGGTCACAGCTAATACTGAGGTTATGTTCTGTGGGGAGTGCTGTGCCTCCAGCTACTGATGCTGTCTCTCCTTTTTGTTCTCATTACATGTTTTGCAGGGAGAACAAAGATTTTTTCTCCTTTTTTTGTATCATGTGGGTAGGTGGGGGTCTTGTTTAAAAAGGAAAGCAGCTATCACCTAAACCCTGTTTTTTCTTTCACTAACGTCAGGTATTTTAGGGAACTGACACTGTTCGTTTTCATTTTCAGAATGGACCCTGGGCTTAATCAGCCTTGTGAGCATACAGAGCCTTTGGCTCTTTGGTCACTGATTTTGTTTATAACGTTTTCAAGCAACTGTTGGAATAAGGGAGGGCTTTAAACCTCAACAGCAACACTTAAGGCTGAGACTTAAAGGTTCACAGACTAGGAAGCAGAGCTGAAAACTGCCTGGTTACGTCAGCATGAGATATTCCTAAAGGCCGTGTAATGTTTTGTCAGATACCTCTCAAAGAGCACTTGATATGTTTCAAATACATTCATAGACAGTGTAATCACGTTTTGTCAGCTTATTTATTACTGAAGTCCTAGGACTTTGGGTTTGAGTTGAACAAAGTGTCACTGCTTTCTGTCATTAGCCAGGTTTAGAGCAGCTTGCATAAAACAATGCTGTTCTACACTAGGGGCTCTACACTGCCAGAATTTGCAAAGCCAAAGCTCTCTTTCTGCAGTAGAGCTCAGAAGGAAATATGAGTTGTTAATTTTTTTGTGTCTTTTGTCTCCAGTGTCTGCAGCGAGGCTCTGAGCTATTTCCTCACTCTTACATCAGAAAGTCATCGGGAAGCCTGGACTAACCTTTTACTCTTATTTTTGACTAAAGTCCTGAAGATAAGTGATGAAAGGGTAAGTAACTGTTTGGAATGATGTTTCAGATGACATGTACAGATAAGAAGTACTTCCAGACTGGTTTGTCACACACAGTTACAGACTTGACTTTAAAAGCTCCTGCAGCTCTGTAGACACTCTTGTGTTGAGGGAATATACATTCAAACTGCACTTGACAGATACTGACACATAAAATTCAGTGTGAAGGTGCAGTGAGTGATAAAATGTGTCAGAAAAGTTTAAAGATGCTGGAATCCTTTAGAAGTGTGTGTTAAATTGTTTTTACCCCTCTCCTGCTGAGGAAGGCAATTAGTGATGATATTTTATTCAAAGAATTAACTCTTGTTTCTGCTGCCAGTGCTGCAGGTACATGTACACCTTGACCTTCTCCAAAGCAATTCTGCAGTAAATAAATCCCTGTTTAATCTCCCTCTAAGAACACTTGGCTGAAATAATTAAGTGATGAAAAAGGCCAACTGCAAGAAAAAAGCTCATAATAGAAAAATATTTCCTCTTGGAGAATAAGCATTAGTAAGGAGCACTGGTGAGCACTGTCAGAGTATATCACAGCTGTCTTAGCCTTATTCTAGCACTGCTAATTTCAGTTGTAAAGGTGTTTCTGCTGTCACTTTGTGGATTTCTCACCTACATTTGGGAGAGTATTTAAAATTCTTATTTTGCAGTGTGCTTTCTGAGGTGTACTGATGTATAATAGAGTCATTTCTTGTTTGTTTTCTCCTCAGTTCAAGGCCCATGCCTCATTCTACTATCCTTTGTTGTGTGAAATCATGCAGTTTGACCTTATTCCTGAGCTTCGGGCTGTTTTGCGAAGGTTTTTCCTGCGGATTGGTGTGGTTTTCCAAATATCCCAACCACCAGAACAAGAGTCTGGGATAAGCAAGCACTAGCAGATAGTGATGCTCTGTTTCCAAGTTTATATTCCTCAGCTAAATAAAAGGACCAGGTAGCTGGGCCGTTCTGTCTGGATCTCCATATAAAAGGTTTCTTTCTCTGGCAATGTGTATCCAAGGGTTAACGGTACAGATGCTTACAACTGTAATTAAGGCTTGCAACACTCCAGTCCCTCTCTTTCCTGGCGGATTCTCTCTCATTGGTTTCTCTTGCCTGGCTCCTGCTGAGCACAGAGCCAGTTTATAGCACAGTCCCCTTGTCAGCACGGGCTGCAGTGTCCTTTACTGTCCTAGACAGCAGCATAGCAACAGATGTTCATGGCGGGTGTGAAAGTATAATGTACCCAAAGAAACATATATATGTAAAGGTTTGAGCTTCTGCGAGAAGTACAACTCAGGAGAGCTGTATTTTGAAGGATAAAATGTTTATAGTGAAAAGAAAATGGAGATTATTGTTCATGGAAAAAAATATTTAGCAACTATGTCTGATATTCTAAGATTTTTGCACACTCAGGCTGTCTGAGACATTGGTAATCATCCTTCTGTGAAAATGTACAGAGATGCAGATCTGTAATATAAACTCTTTAACACTATACAGTTCTTCCCAAATTATTTTATTTCTGTAATACTGATTTGTTGAAAGCCCATAACTCTTCCTTGTTTACCAAATGCACTAGAAGTTTGGGTTTCTTTTTTGGGTTGTGATTTTTTTTTGTTATTTTTGTTTTATTTTGTTTCATTGTAGCCCAGAAGTTATTGTTGCCGACAACAGTAGAACTATCACGACTGACATAACTACCTGTAATATACTTGTTTTAGGGCTTTTAAATATAACGAGCCATTGAAATGATGATCCTTCAAGGACTGGAACTTGAATCACTGCAAACAAGTCTAGGTTGTGTCTGCTGTCAAATGTTTTTTGTTTGATGTAGATTTCACTCTTATGTACAGAATTTAATGTTGGATATATTCAAGTAACAAATCTGGCATGGTTTGGGGATGGTTAAATTTATTGGAAATGTATTCATACTGTGAATTGTGCTCTGATGGTTAACAGACGAGATTGTCAAGCATTCTGTATTACAATGGATGTAGAAATTTTTTTCAGATGGACAAAATGTATATGGTACAGATATGTAAAGTTTTCTATGTAAAAAAAATTCTGTACAACTTTCTGTACAATATTTGGTTCTCATCTGGCATATTCTAATCAGGTTATAGGTCAATAAAGTTTTTGAACTCTTTCATCAGTGCAATCAAAACCAGTCTAATCCACAGCTACTTGTTTTACAGTTTACTTTTGTTTCAAAGGAGCAAACCCCAGACCTTGGGAGCAGAAAGCTGGGTGCCCTCTGCTTGACTGGGATGCCTCTTCTCACCGTTAGAGACAAACACAGGGGGAAAAGGAGTGGTAAATTAAAAAAAAAAAAAAGGTGGGCAGGGCTGGAGGTGAATAAAAGTGCTACAGGAACTGGTCAGAGGGACCCTGTAGTGCTGCACAGGTAGAAGCTCAAAGCTGCACTTTGCTCTCTGGGGATTAAAACACAAGCACCAAACAGCTGATGGAGAAAAGGGGAAGAGAAGGGCTGTGATTGCAGTTCCGCAGACTTGGAACACATCAGCCAGCTCAGCCTTGTCAGCATCTTCGATTTTGTTAGAGTGGAATGGGATTGTTCTCCAGTGTGTTCCCACAAAACTCCTGACTGGCACAGAAGAGCAGTGTGAAGAGCAAGGTGTGTGAGGGAGCCTCCTCTCTTTCAGGGCAATGTATCTGCCACAGACATTCACAGCAGGCTCCAGAAGTAAGTGTAAGCAGTTCAGTGAAATAGCTATTGGAAAAGCCAGAAAAGGAAATTAAAATGCTATGACCTGTGGTTCAGAGTTTGCTCACAAAGTTAATTGGGGGGGAGCAAAACCAAATAGCAATTACCAGAGTCAGAAGGGGTAGAATTGAGGTTATTTGAATTAATTGTAGCCTTTACTCTTGGCTATATTTTACTTGTTCAGTTTGTTGTGCTGTGTTTTAATCTTAGGCCAGACCAAAGGTCTTTGTCGAAAGTGACCAGTAATAATTTTACAGTGAGTATAATGTGTCCCATCCTATTCATTGTCATGCATGGCTTTAGCAGACTCTTCTGAGACCATTGCCAGAGTGTCCCTGTCCCTGCTGCCCTGTTAAACAGCCACTGTTGTTGTGTGTCTGCCCAATTGCTTTCTAATCATCTGTGTTCAAGACAAAGCAGTGAGTACAATGAACTATCTAAAACCTTGGGTAGTTGGGGTTTTGAGTCTCTTTCTGGTTTTGAACCTCGCTGCTTTTCTGTTTTGCTGTGCACTCCTCTTTAGATATTATTTTATAGCCTGGCCTTCTTATGCCTTATTTATTGCTCATGTGGAAAAGACCCAATACCTGTTTAATTTTGGTTCATTGGGAGCTGAATTTTGTTGTCATCATAACTCTTCTGTGCCTCTTTAGCTCTTGCAATGCCAGAGCAGCACCAGGTGTGTTCTGGGCATTGTGTTCAACTTGCAGCTCTCTGAACACTCACATATATGATTGTTCTCAAAAATCTGGAGTTGGGGCAGAGAATAGGTGCTCTTTTAGCGATCTCAGTATCCATCAGGGCTGGGACTGCAGATAACATTTATTTTGCACGTGAGGCTGTCATGATCTGGAAAGGGAAAGATGCAAAGGATTCAGTGTCCTGAGAAGTGCCCCATGGAGGGCAGCTGCAGGAAGAGTACAGTTCATGGTACCAAGGGCTGCTGTGGTTTCAGGCCATGGCACAGGTGAAAAAGGTAATTCAGAGGGGTTGTGCCATATCCTGGCCTTGAACTGGAGGAAAGGAATGCCAGCTTCTGGTCTGTGGCATTTATGAAACTTGCTGCAGTGGAACGAGTGTGGCTTTTTAGGGGAACACTTCATGCTTCTCTCTGGGGAAAAATTCTGATTAAAATTAAGGAAATAATTAAACTCTGTAGGCAGTTAGATAAGAAATTCTGCATCTAGCCTGGAGCTGGTACAGTGAATGTGTCTCCAACTTCTGAAGCAACTGGAGAGAGCCATCAGACAGGTGACAAAGTATAAAAGGCATGAGAGGGTGGCAAGTGTGTTATTATAAAGCATTTTCACAAAGTTATTTCCTCTGTCTCTGGAAAGTCCAGACTGAAGCAGCCATGCAGCCCGACGTACCTGCTCCAGCCCAGGTCAGGGATTGCACCAAGGGCCCTGCTTGAGTGGCCACTGGTGCCAGACCCACACTGATGAAACTTCTTACTGTTGAGCTAGAAATTCAGGGTAAGAATTGCCCTGATTTGGCAAATCCTCTCTGGGAAGGAACACGCTAAGGCCATGAAGAAGCTCAACACCACATGAAAGTACATCTGTCAGCAAACATTGCCTGCCATCATCATGGAACTGCTGTAGCCTTCAGACAGGTTCACAAAAGCTTGAAGGTGGCAATGTAGTAAAGACCTTTATAAAAAGTGCTTGTTTTCATCAGTGGTTTATTAGGGTCTTTTTTCCCCCGTTGATCAGGTTTAGGCTCTGAGTGGGAATTTCCTAACCAAAAGGAAAGCTGCAGCATTACCCCTGCTTCACCTTGGTTGTGTAGTTCACTGAAGTAAAATCTTCCTCTGTGTCCTTCTTGCTAAAGCTTTGTGCTCTCAATGAACAGATTTTCCATGTGTTTTTATTTCTTTGGAGACAGCCTTAATACTCCAGTCTGTTCAAGAGTAAATGAAAGCTGAAGCAAAGCATAAGGAAATTGAACTCGGCTTTCACAATTTTTATGACAAAAATAATTTTAGTAACAAAATACTTTATTATTCAATCAGAAACATAAATATATTCAACAATATCTGTATTTTCAGCACACAATAAGTTAGGGAATGTAAGACACACTGTCAATAGTTATTTTTTCCCATGAAAGTGTCAGCTGCGCTTTCATGCAGGACAGCATTTATCCTATAAGAAAACCAAGTGTCCTTGTTCAAGTTACTCTTTGGGTAAAAACCTAATGCCCTTCTGCTCTTGGCCTGCTCTAATGCCAGAAAATTTTGGAGTTTGACTATAAAGCTAAAAAACATCTTTAATTTAATATCAAATTCACACACAGCACACTGTTTCTGAGGCTGACACTTAAGTTGTATAAAAAGTGCAAAATCTGCCAAGCTTTTCATCCATTTCCCACGTCACAGAATAGAAAACATCCCTGTGCTACGTCTCCGTTCCACTGTAGTGTCTGAGCCTTTATTATTGCTATTCTCAGTTACACACACAGCTCCACACTGTACACGGGAGAGAATTCTCCCTGCGGGATTCCCTGGCAGGCTCCCGGGCGGATCAGCCGTGCGCGGTGGAGAGGCCCTGCCAGCCCAGCGGGAGCGCCGCCTCCGGGGACAGCTTCGCCGGGCTCGGCTGCTCCGCCAGGAGCCTCCGGAGCGTGGCCGACGTTCCCGGTCGCAGCCAGGGCTCTGTGGCCACGGTGTCAGTGGAGCTGGCCTGGGACTGAGCGCGCTTCAGGAGGTCGTCCACGTCCCCCAAGGAAATGTCATCACCTACGAGGAGAGCAACACGTGTGGCAGACGGCACAGAAGCTCTTCCCACCACGACACTGGGCAGGCTTGGCTGCAATCAGTGCAGCAATAATGCTTTTAAAATATATATAAAATAATGCTTTTAAGTGATATATATAATAACGCTTTTAAATGACATTTCTACTTAGCACACGTTCGCTGGTGTTCTGGGGAACAGCTCCCCCCAGCAGCTCAGCAAGGGGATAAGGATACAGGCAGAGGTGGGTGGACACAGCAGAGGGCTCTTGCTTTCCAAAAAGCTTCTATTTAGGGAGAATGAAATCTGTCAGTGCATATATGCATAAAAATGCATGTGAAAGTAAGGCCATTCACTTACAGTGGCCTGACTGAACCTTGCATAGACAGTCTCCTACTGATGAAGAATTGTTTTAACTTGGCTTAACAGTGCAAATGCAAGTGAGCCTGTGCATCACAGCCCAGCACAGCTCAACCTCAGTGCAACGTCATGCTGAAACTGGCTAAGTTGGGATCTTCCAGCTACAAAATAAGCCCCATCTAACAAAAACCAGAACTGCCTTGCCTATGAACTTGGGGTCCTTATCACTCTGAACTCTACTATTATTTGTTTCAATTCTGTCAGCAATTACACATACATCTAATACCTTAAACAAATAGTTCTTAGTGTGAATTATCAAGCAACATATATTTTTACTATACATGAAGGGGTATAAAGACATAAATTCCTCTGTCCTGTTCATTTTTTGGCTTCACAGCATCTGATTTTTTACATACTCTAACCAAAAAAATTATGCAAACCCCCTGTAACAACTAAAAAATGCAATGTTTTCCTCTTAAAACTGAACCACGTCAGTGAAGAGGTTCTGGTTTCTTGGTGTTAAAGCTGGGCAGAAATAAGTTTAAAGACTGGATTAGGAAAATAAAACAAACATTTTTCCAAAAACATCCTAATTAAAGCAAAACAAAATTGCATATTCTTTGGTGATTAAATAATTAACCTAAGCAATTAATAAGTGCCATGTAATTCATGTATTTGGATGATTTTTACGAATTTCAGGTTTTTATTCTGCAAAAATGATGACTTTTTAAAAATGAGAATTTAAACCAAAGCTTCTCTGAAGATTCTCATTAAAAATTGAAAGTTGATGGTCTAAGCATGGGTGTGAGAGCCCAAGGCCTGGAGAAGCAGCAGGCAGGCATGCAGGGGTGAAGGGAAGGACAGAACTGCACAACCCCACATACACTGGGAGCAAGGGCTCAGTTTCCCTCTTTGTCTGTTAGGTGGGATTGCAGGTTCTAAAACAAAATGTCAAATACTTTTTGTTCCAAAAGAACTTAGCAGGAATCATTAGTTCTGTCACATCACACAGACAGTGATCTGATCATCCTCCAAGTCCTCCCAGTCTGGTTGAGACTTGTCTGCAACACTAGAAGTGAGAACAGACCTCCCTCTCCCTAGGGCCTGTCATCTCCTGTGCTTGAAGCTGGCAGAGTGAACCTCTTTGTCTCCTAAATCCTGGGTCAGATCAACTCTCCCATGAGATGGAACCCAGAATTTTTTTGCATTTGTAGGTTTAAAGGGGTTAACAGCACACAGCAGGAGAAGTGATACCTAAAGAAAATTAATTTTCTGTTTACTGCTTTGAGAGATGGTATCCAGCAACAATAAAAATAAGGCTGTTTAGAGCCAAACTGGGAATGTGCAGGCCAGAGGGCTGCATTTCCCCATACTTAACTACTTCTGCCTTTAAAGCAAAGCCTTTAGATCTTGCAGATGTCAGAGGCAAGATCAACTGTTCTGCCAGAGGTAAGATCACAGTGCACATCACTGGATCAGACTCACTTGGCGCTGCTTTTAGAAAGCCCAGCAGATCAGCTGCACTGCAGAACTTCTTCACCATGAATTTCAACACTTTGCACACTCCCTAAAAACCTGTCCTTAATTGGGACACATTATCAAGACTCTTGGTAATTCAGTTTGGATGTGGAGGCTGAGGGTAAGGGACGCTTTTCCATAGCATGAAATCCTGGTTTAGAAATGGAAAGGTACCTGGATTCTTGCAGAACACCAACAGCAGCACATCTTGTGTGCCCAAATCTGTGAGAATTCCCTCTTCTGATCTGAGCCTGCTTTTGTTTATGCCCTTAGGAACACACATACCTTGCTTGACAGAGACTCCATCACCCAAATATTCACCAAGTCTACACTGACAGGAAATTTTTTTGGATGAGTGAAATTTTTGTCTAATTTACCAATTAAGAAAACAATATTAGGATGCCTTTAGGATTCCCACATCAGTCCCGGAGGAGAAAGTGAACTGCTGTGAACTGAGCCTCCTTATTGAACCAGATCAGCTCTTAGAATTTATCAAAGCCTGTGAATTGCCATCTCTGGTCATTTCAAGGGAAGATAAATATATAACTAAGGAACCTGGTTGAGAGATTTGTTTTCTCTCAGCAGTGTCTCTGAGGGCAGAGGAGAAATGACAGTCCTGGCAGCTCAGAAAGCAGGAGGATGCCACAAGGGTTCTTTCACACTGTTAGGGAAAAGGAGTAAAAAAACCTGGCTTCCCTCATTTTTTTCCTGTAGCATCCCTGAGCACAAGGGGGGAACAAGAGGGCAAGCAGCAGTGCAGCCTGAACAACTACAGCTGAGCAAGAGGATCTGTTGCTACCTTTCCAAGAGGCACAAATGCTAAGGATGAGTGATGGGGCCCCATGTGCTCCAAAGAGCAAGCTACATACAGACATATGAATATATATATATATACATACACACACATCAAAATTATATTTAGCTAAAGACTGAAGCTCTGGAGGCTTTGACAAACAGAAGGCAAGCAAAATAAAAAGTGTAGTGCATACCATATGAGGTGAAATTATAAAAGAGGTGAAATACAACAAAGATACTGAAGTAATAGTAGTTCACATAGCAAATATATCTGGGTGGAATAAAATTAGTAAAGATTTTATATAGATTATAGAAGAAAATTAGTATGAATAGGGTTTATTTTTTTAGTGACTTAAAACCACAGAGAGATGGTTAAAACAAACCAAAAAAAAAGATGAAGTGCTTGTAAGAGTACCCATAGCAACAGAATCAAAAATACTGCCAGCATCTGTACTCTCATTAAGTTTATAAAAAGGATACTGATACTGTAATTGCCTAGACAGCATAGCACTACCTCAAAAAAAAGGGAGATTTCAGACTCGTGTGAAGAATCATTAGCACAAAGTGTATGAACTGGGTCACAACCCATGTGAGAAATTAAAGGCCATTAATGGTTGCCATGATGGGTACTTCATACACAAAAGGGATCTAGATCAGGCAGCCAGCATTTGGAGATGCTCCCAGACAACTCCCAGCACCTGATGTAAGAAACTTGGAATGAATTCAAGTGTGTGTGCAGTGAGAGGTATCAGTATCAAATACTCCCTCACTCAAATACTGAACAACCCACTAGAAAATCAAATTAACTAGAAACTGAAGTACTTCATCATACACAATTCTCTGGCAATATCTTCATGCTGGTTTGGACCACAGACATCTGACTCCCAGGAATGCCAGTAAACTCAAACAGGCAACTCATCATCATTCACCACCTGTGTGTTTTATTTCCTCCTACTGCCATTTCAGCTGTGCAGCTGGATATCCCCACCCTGCTCCCCACACACTGCAGTGGTGCTCACAGCACAAGCAGGAGTGGCTGATCAGATAGGAATATGAGAATCTTTTTCTACTCTCCTCCTTAGTCTGAAGAAGCTGTGTTGAGGCGTGCTGGGGAAGCCCTTGTACCAGCTACAGAGCTTCATAAATAACTCCTGTGTTTCATCTGGTTGCTCACTGTTCTGCTACATGAAGCCTATCATTATTTGTTCCTTTAATTATTGTAATTGCTTACTGTTCACTACATCATCTCTGCTACAGGGAGCATACCCAAGGAAGGAGATTTCTGCTGGAGCTCAGTCAGTCTGTGCAGTCGTTCCTCGTTCTTGCCTTTCACCTGATCAGCGTCGAGGCTGAAGTTTGAGTGCAAGGAGAAGCTGTCAGGCTGCAGCAACGGCGTCTGCCCTGGTGGAACTTCCTCCTGCAGGGAATCCAAAAATGCACAAATCCTTCAGTTAAAGAGCATCCTTCTTAAAAGGGCAAATAACTACACGTGTACTCCCTCAGGAGCCATAACATGGAGTCACTGTGGAAGCAAAGGAACTGTCTGACATTACATCTGTCAGTTCTTACATGTTCAGCACTCTCCAAAGCTCTCTGCTTCAATCGTCTCCTCTCCCTTGCAGAAAGTGGATGCTGTGGTAATAAATTCATTTCTTCTAAGGCAGAAAACATTTCCCCATTAGCACCTGGAAAAACAGGTGAAATAATTTTCAAAGAAATTGGCATACCAGAGAGTGCTCCAACGTGTTTATGTTTTGAAACAAGCCAATATATTGTACATGACTCCATCACAGGAATATGTTTATACCCAGAATGTTTATACCCAGACCTTCAAAGTAAATAAGTACTCAAATGAGCACAGCACCTCTACTTGAAAGGGAGAACACTTGGAAGATCAGAGTCATAAATAAAAATGTTACATGAAATACATAATAACATTACATGGACTGACAGTGTTACATGGAATATAATAGCACAAAATCTAAGCCTTAATCACACATCCTTGGTCATATCTCCGCCTTTTCATGTAATAAAATGTTAACATCTGTTCATACAAGAATAAATAACTACACCTTTTGATCATACTTGTATCACATTACAGTGGGAGGAGTTTAATCTCTTTTCATAATATACATGAAGCCTAAGGTCATGTCTCTGTTTCACACTTGTCTATTTCTTCCTCTTTTACTGACTCTGGAAACTGTTTCGAACAAGTACTTTTGGTTCTCCCTCCAGGACCAGTAACCCTGGCTCTGCTGCTGCTCAGGGCAGACAGTGGGCTCTGTTTCCTACTGCATTCCCTCTGACACCTTCAGGAACAGAGACTCCCAGGAAAAGGAAGGACTCTGCTCAACAAAACCTCTACAGAATCCACTACCATCTACTACTCTCTGTGACAACAAAGTCATGTTTTGGAAAAGTGGTTAGTCCAGTATATCACATAAAGCAAAAAAAAAAAAAAAAAAAAAACCCAAAAAAAACCTTAGGTTTGAAAAATAAATTTGATTGATATCAAAAAAGTTCAGAATAATAAAAAGAGGTATTTTTAAAATTCTTTTGTATTGTCAGTTGTTTTTTTCCCTAAAAATACATTTTTTCTGTTCTCCTCTCATCTTTTCTCTTCTCCAGTTTCACCAACAGTACTCATGCTCTTATCACAAATGTTTCAAATAAAAAAACCAAAGCATAATTTTGAAATGTTGTAAGGCTAACAAATTATGTATCAGAATTCCAGTTACGAGACCAGCTGAATTTCACTATATTCAAAACAGTGCTATTATTTGGAATATAAAAAATGGTTTAACAATGTGAATTTGTCACAACAAAGGACAAGCTTAAGAATTTATATGTGCCATTAGTGTATCATCAGTATCAGATGGTATCTGTTCCTGTAAGCATCCATCATTCAGATCCTGCTGCACAGAGATGCTTTTAAATCACTGCATTAACACAAATGGATTCTAGGGTTTTCAGTGAGGCAAAAAAGGAAAAAATAAATAAATTTATTTCTAACTGCCGCAAACACTTTATTTCTAACTGTCTCAAATTTCAGAGCCCTAGGACATAAATTCATATGTAATGCTGACATAATAGATGTCAAAATTGGGTTGGGTTTTAAACCCACATCAAAAAAATCTCAAACAAAACAGAAGGTAGTGTTACACTCCTCCTAGGAAATGGCAAACACTTTAAAATACAGCCCCTGTATTTCACCAAAGACCCTCAGACAATGTGAGCTGCACAACCCACAGAGAAGGCAGCCCACACAGAGAATGATAATTTTTATTTTTCATTTCAGAGATGGAAGTCACCAGATTAATATTCAGAATGTTAGTAGAGATTTATAAAGCCTAAACAATGCAAAAGATAACACATTTTGAGGTAATGCATATAGCTCACTATTGAAGAACATGGTTTTCATCAGCCATAAATGATCTGGGGGGGGAGAAAGGTAAAAAGGGGGTGGGGGAAATAAATAATATTAGGTTAACTCAAAAACCTCACTAAACTGCAAGTACCAGGTGGATGGGAAGAAGAAGGGAAAGGGTGAGAGGACTATAAATATCATGAACCTTAGGAAATAACCAAGAACACCCCATTACAGAACTGGCAGCCTCACAGCAGACAAAAGGACATGGTTCACAGAAGGCACAGGCTGGGTATTTATCCACACAATTCTGCTGATGGTAAACAGGGATTTAAAAATGCTAATTCCAGTTGGTGAAAGGCAACCTGTGAAAGGCCCAGCTTAGCAAGGCTTATGAAATGCAATCAGCTACAGGTCACTGGAAGCTGGAAGAGCCCTGCATGTCTGCCCTGCATCTTGTGTTCCTCTCCATGAGCCTGTCCTGGCTGAGATGGGATATTTGGCTACAGCCTAGACTGACAGGCTCTCCTGAGGCATCCTTTCACCCCTGGGCTGCACTTATACAGTAACCCTTATCCTCAAAAGGAAGGTATTGCAGACTACAGAGAGAACCAAATGCACTGAATAAGGCTGAATGCCCCACTCTGGGCTCTTCCCAGTGCCAGGTTCTACCCTGTACACCAGGACTTGCATGTTAACAGAATGGGCTTGAATACATTTCAAATGAAAAAATCTGCTTTTAACCAAAGCCAGAGATAATCATCATCAGTTTACAGAAACACTGTTTCATTAAAAACTACCTGTAGGACTCTGCTGCACCTCCCCTACAGCAAAGAATAAAACCCTTGCAAGATGATTTCTCATAGATGACTGAAACAAATTTCAAGATACTGAAATGCCTGCTAATGGAAAATAACATGTAAAGGCTTGAGCTGGTTGGGTTTTTCTAGTAACTAGGAATAAAACAGCACTTTTACATCCACACATACAAAGGCTGAATAGAGAGACATTACATGACAAAAATCTTTAGAAAACTAAAAATCTTCTGCTTCAGATGATGACTAAGTGACAATGTCTGTAAGTATAACGTTGCAAATGAAATGAAATAAAATGTGAACAGCAGAAAAGTGACTAATTTAGAATGAATTGCTATTTTATACCCATATAATCATACTTAAAATCAAGCATGCTTGTAAATCAAAAGAATAACCATGAAAAGAATAGCTGACTATCTAAGACTTTTGTATTTCACTGTGGACAGATTGCAATTGTAAGCTGTGATTGTCAATAAATTATATTATTTGCAGCAGAACAATAGAAAAGCATTGCCAATGCTGCCATTATAACACATTTCCTGCATAAATATTAGCTTTTCCTTATCCAAATCCAAATCCTTATCCTGGGCAGATGTCAGAAAAAGCCCCTTGACAAGACTAACCTCCCAGACAAAGCACGAAGAGCAGAGAAAGATGCTTTCTCGTTAAAAGATGTAAGGTGGAAAAGGGCAACTGAGCAGCATCATTAAGTTTAGGTGTCATCTACACAATTTTGCTACAGTAAAATTTCATAAATCTCTGCATTTTAATTTGGAGGCATAACTTCCTAATACTTTAAGCCAATCACCATAGCTACAACCACTGCAACTTCTAAAACAGTAATAATCATTTTAGAGACACAGCTGAAGACTAAACCACATGTCTGTACACTCACAACATGCTTAAGGGGAAGTATAAACTCACCAATAAAAGCACTATCCGATTCCAACAGTGAATTTTTCTGGAATTCATTAGATTTGTTCCTGAACTACAAAAACGAAACAGAAAAAATGGAAATTCAGAGGCTTCAATACATTTCTGGGGCCAAATGATAATTAATGTAAATTAATTGCTAAACTTCTCCAAAGCAAAGAGCAGCTCTACATTGTTAATATTCTACTATCCCTGACTTTGTGGTTCTAAAATCCCAATGCATTTTTAAAGAACTCATATTCTCTTTAACCATTAGGGTTTGCTTTTTTTTACTTTTGCTGAAATTGCTTACACATGACAATTGTTGTGGTAATTTGTGTAACACAGACATTTCCATCAAGAAATTTATCTTTGTCACTCTGCATAAGGTTCAAAATAGTCAGTGCTCAAAGTGAGCTTTGCACTTAAGGTTTGTATGAAGTATTAATCAAATGAAGAATGGTTTATGTTTAACTCACCCCACCGCATACAATCTTTGACATTAAAGCATTAAAATAATAAATTTCTACATCATAATATCAAGCACTAAGACCAATACTCATAGTTCACACACATCATGGTTGCAAACATGTATTACAGAAATCCTACTGAGGAATAATTTATATTGAAACCACTCTAAAATCAAAGCAGTAGAAACTATCAGAGGAAACAGAACAAGAGAAAACAAATCTTTTACTGCAAAGCATTGCTCTGAATGATAATTTTAGGCATTAAATTACAACTATAAAGTACGTTAATGTGATTTTTTAAAATAAAAACTGTTTCATTTCTGCATTTAGTTAAGTATTATCCTTGAGGTTAGTGCCTTTGCTGTTGCACAGTCACTTGTTTTTCATTGTTTCATATTCCCATGAAATACAACTGAACTCTGTTATTCAGTATTTTGGGTTAGTGCAGGATTCTAATTTGATAGCACTTAATTTTGCTCTTTTCACCAAGTCAGAAAATAAATGTTCCATCTGAGAACATTTCAATTCTTGACTGGCCAAGTGCACCACTTAAATGACCTGAATTCAGAGCAACTGCTTCTGGCTTGGCTTTTTCTACTATTTCTCACCCCCCAGCAGCAATCTAACATCATATGAATATAAAATAAGTACCAATGAATATAATAAGAAGAAAGACTCAAGCCATCTCCATATACAAAGATAAGCAACTTGTATGTCAACTTTAAAGCTGTTGTTTGCATGGACCAGAAAAAGAAGCAAATTCGTTTGCTGTCTTGTTAACTGTCATTCCTTTCTCCAAATCAGTGAAAGACACAATATTTCTCACACTTGAAAAAGTAATATAATAAAAAACCTTTTATTCTTACCAGGCCCATGGTTTGTGCGTAGCTGTCCAAAGCAGAATCCTCTTGATCACCAAAAGCTATATAGACAAGCGACAAAATGACAGGGTTGACATAAAAATAGTTAATAACAAAATATATTTTATCAGCTTATTATGGCAAAAATGAAGATCAGTATGCATTTCATCTTTAAATATACATAAATTGTGCTGAAGGAATGGGTTTTTAAGATATTTGAATGCAACAATTATTCCAGTTTCCTTATGTAAATTTAATTAGAATCAGAGAAATCAAACAGAAATCTGTAGTCTATTACTTCTAATCTGTTTTTTGTCTCCTGGCAGGGAATAACAACCACAGCAGGGACTGCAGAAAGCCCCAAGAGTAAATGTACATTCAACATGCTAAGCACACCACACTTCCAGCCTTCAAAAAGGGAAGTTGAACCAGAAAGAGATGGTTTCACAGAGAAAAGTGATAAGAATATATACGATTTTATCTTGGGATAAAAATCTCAGTTCTGGAGAGCACAGAGAACCATCCTGAAAGTTAAGCTAAAAATGACCCAATGCCTGCTGGAAATGCAAAGAAACAGAACTGAAGTTACTTTCTTATTTAGTTTTAGTTTTGAAATAAATTATTTTATTAGGGTTGGTTTTGAGGCAGAGATGCAAGAACCAACACCTTACTCAGTGTGTAGCTGACCTTCTGTCCAGCATTGGAGCACACGGGCTGTCAGTCCTCTTGGCCTGACTCCCAGCCCATTCCTGTCACACTGTTCCCACCACTGCAGCACAGCAACATCAAACCTGCTCTTGGGGCCTTCCCTCACACCCCCAGAATAATTATCACCCACAAGTCTGCAAAAGACTGCCTCCTTTATAGGGCCACAGCTAGCATTTAAAAACTTGGCATATTTAAAACATTGAATTTTTAGTTTATAGTTTCATTAATAGTCAACATATTCCTCTTTCACATAAAGAGAAAAACAAACATATCAGAGAGAAAACTGTATAAAAAGCATGTAAGGCAAAGAACACTTATACATAGTGTGGGAAAAAAGGTATGCCTTTGCCACAGCAGCCCATAACACATTATTTCACCTACTGTACAAAAGTACATACTGCTTTAATTCATCTTACTTTCTGCCTTAAATCAGACAATAAAACCACTCATCTATTTTCAGCAAGAGGAAGGTGATGAATTTCTCTCTGAGGAAAATAAACTGGCAACAGAGAGAGGGCAACTAATTCTCTTGCTAGGTACTCAATGACAGACTATAAAGTTAAATAATGCTGTAAAGCAGCAGGAGAGAGAAAGAGAAAAAGCTGCTTAAGGAGCCTCTAGAAGCATCAGTAGAAAATACTTTAAAAAATCAGCTGCCTGTCTATCAACTAATCTAAGCTAACCCGAAGAGGCCTTTCCTCGGATGTTATCATGGAAGCCTACATTATCCATTAGCACAAATCTAAATGACTCCATGTGTTTGAAATTAATGGAAAAGGCAAATTTGCTTTCTAGATGGTGGAGGTTTCTCTGCAGAAAACATTAAATGAAAGCTTTCTCAGATTGGTCTATTAAAAAATATTCTAATGGCAGAAAACCAGAACCAAGCCCCAGAGAGATCTCAGCTGAAGCCAGTGAATTATTTTTCAGCATTTCAGTCAATCTCATCAAGAGGAAAACTGAAGTCAAGCCTATACATTCCATTTAGGCATTAAAAGATACAACCATATAATTAACACAGAATGTGATACAGATATACTTATTTACAACTGTGATGTTCTATTATCCATAAGCAATATGGCCCACTTTGCTTGAACACCAGCTCATCTGTCCAAGATAGAATAGGAATTATCTTTAACACTCAGGATACTGAACAAAACACAGCTGTCACCCTTCACATCTTGGTAGCAATTCTGTTAATCTACAGGTCTGGCAGCAGCTAACAGGTGCAAGCCTCAAAGCACCAGGGACCAGAAGAGGCATTCAATTTTTCCAAAGCAGTATGCAAAAATGTAAATTTTTTTTTCCACATGTGCTTGGTTTTATTTAATACCCAACTTTCACCTATGGCTAATAAAGCCTAAGGAGCAATTCCATAGGTGACTGTGGCAAGGTGGGGGGCTGTGGGAAGATGCCAGGAGATACCCTGTGCTGGGCACAGCTGTTGCCACAATGGAGCTGCTGCAGGACACAGCAGGGCCCATCAGTCATGTTTGTGATGCCTCTGCAAACAAATGTGAGAAAGAGCAAATCAAACCATGGCAGTAGGACTGAGGACAAATCTGTGAGAAGCAGCTCTGGAGGCACTAAGGCCAGAGAAGAAGGAGGAGGAAGTGCTCAGATACCAGAGCAGAGATTCCCCGGCAGCCCCTGAAGGACACTATGGTAGAGCAGATTGGAAGGTGCAAGAAGACAGAAGCAGCAGAGAGAAACTGCTGTGTAATGACCAAAATGGCCCCTTCCCAAGCCTGACATCCCTCACTGCATCATGGAAGTAACTTGCTACCTGGGGTGGTACCAAGGAAGGGGAGCAGGGACAGAGAATGAAGGAGTGAAACTGGGCACAGGAAAGGGGCAGAAAAGGTGCAGACTTCATGACTTTTTTTTTTTCTGCTACTCAAAGTCAGTAATCAAGCATTTAGGCTTATAGTAATTGGTTAGTTTTCCCCAGGTCAGGTCTGTTTTGCCCACGACAGCAGCTGCTAACCAATCTCTCCATCTGCACCTTGGCCAAGAGGCTTTATTCTTTCTGTTTCCCCAAAGGGCAGGAGTGAGGAGACACAAGCAAGAGAGCGGCCACATGTGAGTCCAACTGCTAGCACAGGCTAAGCCACCACAGAAATAAAGTTACTTTCTCTTCAAAAATTTAATTAGACCAGTCTGAATTACAGAGGCAAAGAGGCAAACACTTTCCCAATAAATCTGTATCTTGCACTCAAAACTGAGTTCATTTGTATAGCTTTAAGCAACTCTCAATTTTAAACATCCTCTAAAACTGGAAATACTGCTCTTTCATGACTGTTTATAAAAGATACCTGAATGAACCTTACATTTGGAATTAATTGTAGCAGGCAAAAAAAAAGGGGTAATACATCTAGTTTTCCCTGATTCTGCAATATGCAGCCAAAATATTTTCCATGTCAGGCTGCTAATGTTTACTGTCTTAGGATCATCTCTATTTAGTGATACAAGCAATATTTTCCTTCCAGAACCTCCAAGTAGTTATGCTATCTCACATGTGGTTTCTAAAGCAAAGGCTTTTTATGGATACAAGTTTCTGGATACAACTTTAAAATAAATCATCCCAAGATAATGGAAATTAAAAAAAAAATCATCCATTAAAAGGAGATCAAGATGAAGATACACTGGCTGTATTTTAATCCACTAGAGTCCAAAGCCATCCTACTTCCTCCATGAGAACTCAAGAATGGAACTTACTCCATGGAACTTACCTGCTAATATTTTTTTCACAGTTCAGCAAAAGAGTTTCACTGTTCTGTAGTTTTCTCCAAGAAACAGAAACAAAACTACTATTCCTTTAGAATTTTTAAAGGATGAGGCACTAGTCAAATTACTTTCAGGGAACCAAAGAGAAACAGTCACATAATTAACAAGTAATTAAAAAACTCCAAAAACAAGTAGAAAACCACAAAAGCTCCCCCAAACACTCTATCATTTTTATGTTTACATTATGATAGACTTTCAGTGCTCTGGTGTTTTACTGTCTCATACTGCAGTGCTGACAGTGCACTTGAAAGAAGTGAAACTAGTGCTAGTGGGTTTTAATTCTTACCAAATACAAACCACATAATTTCAAAGATTTTTGTTTACCTCAAAGCATTCATTCCTTACCTTCTGTTTCTCTCCTCATTCTCATTTTGTCAAGTTTCCTCTGCTGCTCTCTCAACAGTGCCTGCTGTTGAATCTCTAGAGTCTGGTCATCTTTTGGAGGATCAGGATACATGTGCCTCAGGACCATACGAGTTTCAGGATCTAGAGCAAAGATATGAAATTTACATTTATTCCCTAAATTAACATTTCTGAAAAGCATTTTTAAAGAAATATCTAAATATCTAAAAATAATAGTGTTAAACAGCCAAGAGGATGAGCAACTTAGTAATGATTTTACACTTTTACTATGTTAAAAATACATGTTTTCTGATTAAGTTACGCAGAAAGTTACACAGAAAATTATCTGTTGGTTGGCAAAAAAAAGTCTAACTCAGTCTATTTTCAGTAACACCATGATATCAAATGCACAAGAAGTTTAAGCAGCAGGGACTAGAAGACAGGCCAGTGTTCTGAGTGATGACACAGCATTGTGAGGCCAAGAATTCCATGGAATTGCAGGAACAGTCCCACAGAGATACACACACACACAAACAAAAGACTGCCCACAAAGTGCACTGCATGGGCAGTAGATCATGAAAAGCCTGATTTTTGTCTTTAAATCCTGTGTGGAATGGAAGATGTAGAAGGAAGATGCTTCCCTACCCTTCTTCAACAGTAACAAGAAGATCTACCTGCCTTTGTATTTAAGTTCATTAAATTCCCAGATATTCTGTATATTGACAGGATCTTGTGCCTCCTTTAAGGAAGGTCGCCGAACTGGAGCTTGCAGACGAAGCCTGGCCATCTCAAATATGTCCCTTGGATTCTTCTCTCTCCTCCTGCTTGACAGGTTTGTAAAACAAGCAGAAAGCAATTTAACACCATATTATTAATGAGTTGGATGGAAATATAATATTGATAATGTTCAGATCTTTTATCTTTAAATAAAGCTATCAAAACAGAAAAATTTGCAAGTAATGACACTGCATACTTGTTTTAAAAAAGTGATAACCTACTAAAAATAAAAAAACTTCGTATTTTACAGAGTGGAACTAAGGCTGTGTCTTTCCCACCTAATTGGTATGATTAGCTAATATGTTCTGGAAGCAACCCAAATTTATTAAATAAAGAGAATATAATTTTTTAGTAAGAAGGAAAGTACTTCCACAACAGTACAGTATTAATAAGCATATTCAGCAAGTTGTAGCACTGCAGTTTACAGGCACAAATTATGCCCTACAAAAAAATAGGTAATGAGAGATAATTCTGTCTTAGACATCTGTTTTGGACCACTTTTCAAGACAGAGCATTGCAACTTCCTATCTCACCAGTACAGCCATTCTTACAATAAATTTTAGGAAGAGTCTTGGAAAAAACCCAAACACATTAGGAAAAAAAAATATATATATACAAGTTCTACCTTGATATTTTCATTCTACTCCTGTGTGTTGGACAACTAATACTAGCTAGTAATACACAGTAAGTTCCTGTGAAAAATCTAGCTTTGGAAACATAAGACTAAATTCTTACCGTGTAATTGGGACATTATCATGACTGGCCACATTTAGCAACTGTTCCTGCAGTCGCCTCTCTTCACTACGAAGCTGTTTCCTCATCTCTGATAATTCGCTGATCACATTCTTCCTTTCCTCTGGAATTTAGCACAAATAATTTAAAAATAAGGCATGTCAGAGCAACTGTGCTGCCTACTTATTAACATAAGTAACAAAATAAAGGGAAAAAACAGATATGAGGAAATGTTAATTAAGACAAGGATTGTACAAATGTCGGTCTCAGACACAAAAATCACAATATTTCATACACTAGAAATAAGATCAGAGTTTATATTTTGAGACAGCACAAGGACCAGAACTCCTAAACAGCAGAAAACATACAAATGTCACTGGAAATGTTTCACTGTATTTAGAAAAGGAAAAGCTATGGAATACAAGTGGGTGTTGCCAGTAAATAGACTTAATTTGAAATATGCAAACCTACACAGTCCTCAGATAACAGGAACTGCAGTGGTATCTGCAGGCACTCAAGATAAATTTTTTTCTTGACTCAAAAGTTGGTTATCTGTCTGCCTAGTGCAGATTCTGTTAAGTGGTCAAGAGGTCTAACTTCAATTTTTATTACATGCTTATGTTGACTTTTCAGACATGCTTTGGGTCTATGCTGTTTTTTGTTATCAGGATAGCATTCCTCCACAAGTTAAACCAGTTTCAGAAATTCCTCATTTTCCAAATAATATAATTACAGTTTGATATTTGACTGACTTTAAGACTTTAGTGTCCAGAACTTAGCAGGCAAGTCTTACCAGTTTAAATCCTCGAACACGAGACTTACTTTATATGTCTTTAGTTCTCTCATGACAGAAGGTCTGAGTCAATTAATTTCCAATAGCTGCATTAAGAACCACTCTGCCTTCCAATTAGCAGAAAATCCACAAGTCCCTAGAATGGCCTCAGGTACTTCCTGCTGCAGGCTAGCATTTGTGGCACATCACTTACTGATACATTTCATGTGCTGTTTCTTATATACTTATAAAAAAAATTATCAGCAGAAAAATTACTGCTTTCCACCCACATATTGTCAGGATAAATAATATAAGAAAACCAAAGGAGATCCTTCCAGCACATCTGAATTTTAGAACAACCAGTAAAAGCTAAGAGGAATGCGGAGAGGATTAGGCAGACTAACAAAGGTAGGTAGAATTTAAGAGTTAGAGCTGCAATGCTCTACACTCTGAAGGTCTAATCCCTTACTCAGCCAATCCAAAACTTTCCCATTTTGCCATATTCTGGTCACAGTGGTACCACAGTTCCAAGAGATCCAGCTCTTCCCATGCAGACTATTCCAATATCAGAGTTTTTACAAAAACATATTTCCTTATGATGACACATAATGAATGCATTTTTGTGTTAAAAATTCAGATATATCATGCTAATACATTAATTGTACTAAGAGAGAAAACACCTAGACAGAAACTTTAAAGGACTCTTCTTTTGCAGGCAAGAAAAGGAACTGTAGCAGAGAAAGGTTTTGTTGTAATAGAAAGTAAGCTTGCAATGAAGACAAATACCCACCTAATGAACGCAGATGATTTCTTCTAGCGGGGACAGGTGGAGAAGGAGCTCTGGGCTGTGGAGGATCCTATTGATTATGATCAATATGAAATGTAATTTGTACAAGGAAGAAATTGCAGTACATTTTATTTCCTTATTTTACAGCTAATTTACATTAACAGTTGGAAGTCAGAACAGCAACCTTATAGGTTGTGAATGCCTAAGGTTTTTTCAAATCGGATCTTTCAATGTATAATCCAAATTACTATGACAATACCTATAATGCACTATTCAGAGTTCTAAACAAATCTATACCAAGTACTGCTAAAGAAATAAAACTGACCTACCTCCAGATCATTCTTCACATTTAGGAAATTTAGGGAAAGCAATGGTTTAAAGTGTGACATAAAATATTCTCTGAAACTGCACTACAAAGTATCTAGCTCAGTTCAGACAAAGAGTTGGTAAAAAAACAAACAAACAAATACTTTCTCAATAAAAAGACAGAAGTATGGCCTGAGATTCAAATATCATAAACAATTATTTAATCTACTCTCTTCTAGGAGTTTATTTTAAAAGCCAAAAAAGCCCCAGAGGAGACTATCAAGTAAAAGAAATGAGAGGTCTCAGAACTACTACTGTAACTCATTTGTGATGCAGAGAAGAAGGCAAAAGCATTTTAGGAGTAATAATCTTTTTGTACTTTGAAAAACAAAGATTACACAAGAATGTCAGTACCTGCAAATGCCTGAGCAAAGCTCTTCTGTGAGTGAAAATGATGAGCTGCTAGATTATACATAAACTTTCTTATCCTAAATATTGAGATCATCAGATCCCTGGTAAGGGTCTGGACAGTGTATGTCCTCTCCAATGAGGTACTCATTCCTACAGAAAATGCACATGTAGAAAAAAAATAACACACCACCAAAAAAAATTCTTCAGTATCTGAAATACAATTTAACCTTAAATTTCAGAGCTCCAGGACTGATTAAAGTAAAGACTGTCTCGTTATCCACGGCATTCCAGTAAACTTTAAAAACCCGGCATGATTTCATACACAGTACTTTCTTAAATAAACCAGTAGAAGTTTGGTCTAACAATCATACTTGTGCACAGTAAGACAGATGGCTCTCAGCAGAGGGAATCCTCTCTTCTTTTCTTACTGATTTGCTCTGCAGAGCGGGAATGAGGGGTGAAGATTGTCGGGACAACTGCAGGGAGGAAACCAAGGTTGAAACTACATCCCTATAGCTTTTGAATAAAGTGTTCTTTTGGACAGGTGAAGTTTTGTTAGTGTTTTCCCTCTGACAGAAAGAAATGTTTCTAAGTGCATAAAACAACTGCAAAAATTATTTCATGTGATTTTTGTTTTCTACCCATAGAAATTTTAATATTTTTGTCCTACCTCTAGAAATTTTAATACTTTTTTTATATTTCAGTTATATATCTTTTTTTCCTCTAGACACTTCCTTTACATCTGTTATTTTAGAGAAATAAAAGAAATTTAGTACAAATTTTATAAGAGAGAGAGTTTTATAATTTACATAGATTTTGTCCATCAGAATCCTATGTGATGGATTTCTTACATCATCCAGGTCAAAGGAAAATAATAAAATTACAAAAACCACCACTGTTTAGAATGAACAATCCTACCAGTCCTCTAATAAACAATTTTATTTATAAAATAAATAAATGTTTATTTATAAATAATTTTTTTTTAAAAATTTATAAATATTCACAGCAGATATAAAAATCAACTATTGAGTGCAGATTATTAATCTTGCTTTTACTAATTTTTAATAAAATTTTATCAACAAGGTAAGTTTCTATTTCAGTATGTCTGATTTTTTCCATTTTTTCTGTTCTCTGTGCATTAAGTCTACTGCAGTTTGATAAACTGAGAGGGGAACAACATTGAAGGTAGAGGTCTAAGAAATCATGTGATTTTCTTAAAATCCAGTTATTTTTTTAAGTTTTCTAAGAAAAGTCACTTAAACATACCGTCTTCTTTTCCTCTTCCATCTTTTTTTTCTCAAAATATTTTCTAAGTTGTTCCTCTTGCTTTTCTTCTTTTTCTTTTCCTTGTTTTTCTGCCTCTTTTTTCCTTTCTTCATTTAATTGAATTACTTCTTTATTTTTCAATCTTCGCTGTAACATAATTAATACATTAAAAAGGCTCAATTAATAATTTGTTTTCTTTCTCTTTGAAAAGTTAATATTACACATCAAAGTGATTAGTATGAAATAAAAAAGCATATTTCATTAGTCTGACTTTAAACATCCAAATTAAAATATATCTTATGCAAATATCAAACAGCAACAGCCCTGGATTTGCTAACATCATTAAACAGAATTCCTAATAACTTCTATGAACACCAGTTTGTGACCCCAGATCCGTCATCAGCTAAGGCTAAACTGTAGGAGTCATTTCCAAAAATTAGGATTCAATTAAAACATACTGCAGACATGCACTACACTATCACAAGACCACACAGAAATGATCATCTGGTCTCAGTTTTAGTTGTGTGACTGTGAATAGCAATGACACCGGGTAGCTCCCTACTCTCTGCTAGACCAGCTCTGGTATCCAGAAGACAAGGCTCATCCAACTAACATGCTCATACTAGGGAAGGAGAATTAAGAATATAAGATTAAATATTCCGTCTTAAGAAATTTTCAAGTCCTACATCCTAGTCTTCCATAATGCCATAAGGCACTGAAAGACTCCTTCTCCGATGGCCTTGTGTCCTCTTCCTACAATTATTTATTATAGTCTAAATAATGCAAATTTATTAAAAAATGCAAACCCAAGAAATAAAAATTTGGGGTATAAATTAAATCCACGGGTATTGATTTAGGTTTGAATTTACCTCCATGAAAAGTATTTACTAGATCAGCATTCGTCCAAAACAAGCAGTATTCTTATCTCAAAGATATCTCCTTGCCAATTCAAAAACTCTTTACAAAATACTCCCGCACAGTCACATTTCTCAAAAATTCTGAGCTAGATTTAAGACAAAAACTGGGATGATATTTTTTTAATTCAACAATTCGATAAAGCTTTTTATTGGCCTCACCACCAATTTCTTTTAGAAAGGAGAACTCAACTGCCACTTACAAAACTACACGGTTTTTTTTTCTTGAAAGAATTAGCAATACTTTAAGTTTGTAGTATGGCATGAAGTGTGAGAAGAATGAGCTCGTTAATGCTGACAATCTTCCACTTCTTCTCTGCCTAATGCAGGTCCATTTAAAAGCAAAGATCAATTCACAGGACACTTCTCAGCTTACCTTCTAGACAACAAATATTACAAAGGGTTAGTTTAGGATGGAAAGAAGTCAAAGTATCAAAATACTGCACCTCCTCATCTTTCCTCCTTCTCTCCTCTAGTTCCTCTTCATATGCTTTTTGAATTCTCATCCTCTGCTCTGCAAGTCGTTTTTCCTCTTTTTCTTCTTCCATTCTAAGTTTCTCTCGCTCTGCTTCTTCCCTATGTCTCTTTTCTTCAATCTTAAAAAAAAAACAAAAAAGTATTCAACTGTCAATAGCCAGTAACAATCTGATTAACAACATTTACCACGATTTTTGCAGTACCTACTTGCAAAATCAAAAATTATATGGTGCAACTGAAAGAACCCTAGAGACTAGCCCGTATTTCAGCTTAGAATACCCTTAAAAAATGATTCTATTTTACTATTTCTTTTTGGCCACTGGAGCCACCCCCCCCCTACAGGAAACACTTACAAACACTACTAATCAAACCAGAGTGTTTCATAACACTTGCTCTGCTCAAGATGTGCTGAAGTAACGCATTTATTCACTGGTTACATAATGGAAGACGGGAAACCCAAATGATATGGTAATTATCCATTCCACAATTGCAGTATTATTACACAAAGTGCTGACTTACTGAAGCAAAAGTTATGCCCATTCTTTAGTCTACTTAGCAGCCCTATGCATGGAAAAAAACCCTTGATCTCTTTTCAAGAGATCCACATCAAACTACTGCATGACTTTAGTAGTCTCTTAAATTATCTATTATTTCCTTGATAATGGTATTTAATTGAACTGATATTGAACTCATGCAGCATAAGATTAAAAGTGAAGTATTACGGACAGGAGACATAAGCTGGTTGAAGAAAAACCAGGTTTTATACACCCATCAATAAGTAACTACACTATGACTATGATCACCATTTCATTTTGATACCCATGCATTTTTATCACATAGACCTCTAAGGGTAAACATCTTGGTTTCTGTAGTCATTTATGCATGCAAACTGTACTCTATGCACAGTTTCAGAACTCAATACCATATTTAGAGAGCTGTACTTCAGAAAAAAATAGAGCCTAGATGAAAGAAGCCAGCTATTAAGAAATGCTTGTCTGATGATACTATGTAAGCCAAAATCCAAGAAACTCTACAGTATGTAGCTTTTAGTACACCTCTTGTGTGCAGAACCGGCTGTGATAGGACAGGTAAGGTCATTGGTGGGCAGTGATGATTTACTGAGTGTAAACCCTCTTTTTACAATTTATTTAATTGGATGATATCTGGCATGAGCATTCACCTGTAGACGCAGGAAGTTCTTGTAGGACTCCTGTCGCTTAAGCTGCTCTGGAGATGGAGGTTCACCAAACACATTACCTCGAGCAAAAGGAGAGGGCTGTGCAAATGTAATACCTAAGGGAGGGGAAAGGTTACAGATAAAAAACAAACCTAAGACAGGAAGCCAGAGTGAGGAAGGGGGAATCCGAGACCTTTCAAAAGGAAGTTTATGGCAGTCGCAACTCAAGGCTCTAGCTAGGCTTGAAAGTTCTTACATTTTCTGCCTGGAATAATTGCCAGGTTTTAACTGTTTAATACCATCCAAGTGAGCTGCATTTCTACGAAATAACACCTACTAAAGTCACCCATTCTACTGTTCAATCTGCAGATTATTATCTAAGATTACCTCCAAATTAATTAGAATAGCAAATACTTTACACTTTGTAACTTTACTGCTTGCAATTCAACAGAGCATCCTAACAGAACAAATATTTACACAAAATAGCAAAGGATGCTACAAAAAGCAAAGCCCCGGACTGGCAAATAAAATTCTAAGCAGTCAGAAATCTGAATTCTGCCAGTATGAAGTGTCAGGTTTCCTTTTTAGCCCTGAATTATGACCATGACATAACCATACCATCTACAAAACTCTAGACAGGAGGATTAATTCAGATACAACACAGAGCAGGTTTTGCAGAACAGAATCCTTACAAGAAGCAGAGGACAAAGAAGGAAGTAAAGGAAAAGTAGAATAAGTTGTGTTAACTTTCCAACTCATACAGCATGTTTTTTACTCATATCATGTCTTCTCTGACAGATAGTGCCTCAAAGAGGTGCAAGAGCAATATATCTCCACTGAGCTGAGATGAACATTGTATTTCCCTATATGGTAAGACCCAAGTCAGATGAAAGCATAAATAACACAATAAAGTATTCCCATAGGAATGCACATGTTTACTGCTACAGCCTAGCCTTAGGAGCATGAATTTGCATACCAAGGAGTAAACTTTGAGATTATTTTTCCTTACATGGAAGCAATGCTTGAATCCTTCCAAAATATAACTAAATATACATGTGGCTCTTTCATGATGGAATTACTTCCATATTAAAAAAGCAGAATAAATTTTATATGCTGTATATTAGTATCACAGTATCACATTAAGTAGAAGTTGAATAAAAAGTTAACAGAGCAAAATGCTGTTTATATGCTGTTTAGAAAGCATGGGTACAAGACAGGCAAGTTACTATCAAAAGTATCAGTATCGCGGAAAATGCCTGCTGTGTACCAGCTACTATCCAGCAAGTTCCTCTTTTAACAGGGCAGTGTACCAAAAAAAAAAAAAAAAACCACCCTCAAAACCAAGCAACCAAAGCCACCAAAACATACACAAAACCACTCTACTGCATGGCTGATCAAATTCAAGGTGCAAGACTATATATAAAGTTCCCATCACTGATCTGCACTACCTCCTGATCCCAAAATAAGGGATCTAACTGGGAGCTCTTGGCTGTTTTACATTTTTACTTTATCAGCCTTCCTGTTTCACTTCTTACTAAATGGTAAAATATACCATCTGTTGGAGATAACGAGAGAGAGGTGGGACAGAAGGAACAGAAGTCAGTGGTAAGGATCCTGAATTGCAATTGTGCAACACAGATTCACGCCCCAAATACCATGTTATTCTTTATTAAGAAGTGCAGCAATTCAAAAAGAATAAAGAAAAGTAGCATTTAAGCTGAGTTGGAAAGACCATCACCAATCCTGGCCTTTGCCCATGCTAAACTACGGACAGGTCTTGAGTAACACAGTGCTCTCATTTAGATGTCTCACAAAACAAAAGGTGATAAAGTTGCATTAGTTTCAAAATATGGAAATAAATCAAAATCCCTACAACTTGGAGGCAGTGCACAGGGCTCCAATTTACCTGTAACCTTTTAGAACTTGTTAACCTAGCTACTGTACCAATTTCACCTTAACCTATAACATCATATACCTGTAGAACTCCTTTTATTCCACAGTTTCACCTATTATACAGCTGTATTTTACTGTGTCATTTAAAAATAAGACAAACATGTACAAAGATTTGATTAGCAAACACCAAATCTGGAAAAATAATATACTGATCCTGACCCTTCAGGGTTAAAATAGCTTTAGTTATCATTACTGACAAGACAAGTAAAATTTTAAGAGTACACAGTGACAGCAATGAAGAAATTAGGGAAAGAAACATGATACTGACTTTACAGGTAGAGAGCACTAACACTATCATAGGCTCACCAGAAAGAAGTAAAGAACTATGGAATTTTGATCACTAAGACTTATGGATAGTTAGAGGAGGAATACAGTATTCTTAAAAACCTGCTATTTTATTTGTAGATGCTTCTGTGTTCTCAGGTCTTGAGGAGGCCAAATTTAGGTCAACAATAGGCCTCTTATCTTCATATAGTCTTGCCTCTGGATTATGATATGCCTCTTCATTTCGCTTGTGCATGACATTCAAGTCCGCTAAAGGAAAGGGGAAATAACTGTTTATCGTGTCTTAATCTCATAAAGGTATATTCACTGTAGATTCTCAAAAATACAGAGGGGTTTGACCAGATTCCACTTTTCCCGAGCATATCAGCCATGGGAACAAAAAACTCAGGGAAAGACAAGAATACAGAGGCTAAGGGTGAGATTCTAATAATTAGGTACTATTAACTAACAGATTAAAAGATTTGTCACTTTCCTCTTGTCAGGAATTATTCTTCCTGACAAAAAATAAACCTCCCTTCTCCCCTGCTTCAAAATGCCATTAATTGGAAAGATAAAGAACTCAACAACAAAATTGACTGACAACTCTGTGTTGACAAGCAGATGTTCAGAAACCACCCTTTTTTCCATCTCCTTAAAGCTGTAAAATACTTTTGAGTTTAGTATGGATATTTTAATTGCTGAATCTCTCTAATTACTGTTGAGAGAAATAAGTGCAAATGAAACACTGAAGTATGTTTTGGTCTTCATTTCTTCAGTAATATCCAGGTACCGATTTCGATATGTAAGCAAAGCAACATTATGCAACATTTTCATCAAAATTTACATGGTGCCTGATCCAAGATGTTAATTTCAGCTCATTTTGAAGTGTTACCATACTACACTTAGAAGGCTGATTTCATAACAAAAAAGTACAGCACATTTTTCAGATTACCTTTTGAAATAATGTTTCTGATAATTATGAATTACTGTAGTCATTTAAGCACACAGATTCTGAGAACTTTAAATTCCATACCTCTCTGTAAAGCAACCTTTGCATATATCAGTCTCAAAAGCTATTACAGACATTTTTAAGAGGCTCTAAAGACAAGTCACACCACATAAAAAAGACATGTCAGAAAGCATGTCCTGTTTCATGACAGTCAATTCACAGCTTATCCATCATGACACCAAGCTACACTGGGAAAAGTATTTTACATATTTCAGTCAGGAAAACAGGGTAAGAAGCTTCTTTCTCTTGGTTTCTCATTTACAAACAGAGATAAACTTCTCAGCAGTTATGGGCAGAGCTCAGGCCAGTATGAGACCTTTACTTTCCAGTCACACCTCTGTTGAAGCCTAGAGGAAGAAGCCAAACACATCAACGCGGTGCCTGAAGTCGGCTAGTATGAACACCTCTGCCTGCCCTGAGGATAAACACAAGCTTGGATCCTTAATACAAGCTTCTATACTTTCAATTTGGCCACAAAATCTTTAAAAAGCATTTAAACTTTACTCACTACTCTCAAAATATACTATTAATTTCAAAATATGTTGCTCAGGTGTCACAGAACTAAAACTAATTACTACTGTAGATAAACTGTTATCCAGTAAATATTTAATTATTTACTGGAAGGGTAGATAACAACCTGGATCATAGCTATCTTCCAGCTCACTACTCCCATCTTGTATAAAACAGCACTTGGAAAAAAGCAAGCCTTATAAAACATTACTGCTGAGTGCTCTTTATATAACCATTTACCAGCAGTGTTACTTTGGGAAATATAAATATTCCAGTTAACTTTGTATATTTATATAAACACATTTCCATTTTTCATATCACAAATAGAGATTTCTAAGCCTATGAAATTATTTTTAAAAAGAAAAAAAAAACTAAAAACCTGTTCCTACAAGATGCTTAAATAAAAATCTTCACAACAGACTTTAGCATATTTGTATTGCAGATGGTTCTAACAGCTTGTTTTCCTCCTTCTCCCTTTACAACTGCATTGTGTCTTCACTTATAGTTGACATATCCTGTGTTTCCCATTTTGTTTGGATTGTACTCTTTGAATAATTCTACAGAAATCAAAATAATAACTCAATAGTCCTAGAGTGCATCTCCTTGAAACAAGTCTTATTTGTCAAAGGCTACCAGTGTTACAAAACAAAGAATAATATCACTGAACAGAGCCCTTACGAGAGCATGAAAACATCAGTCTTGAAAAGACAACCCATAATTTTCACAAACATACTTATCAGATTTCCTTCTGCATCTTTGAGAGGAGCACCACCACCACCTCTTCCCCAGGGATTGTAATTCTTCATTTCTGATTCTAACCTCTCCTTCTCCTCTTGCTCTTGTCTGCGTCGCTCTTCTCTCTCTCTTATCTAAAAACAAACCAGTCAAAGTTAGTTCCACAACAGTATCACATTAAGTAGAAGTTGAATAAAAAGTTAACAGAGCAAACTGAATGCTCTCATTATCTATTTCCTTCATGTACAGCAAGAAAATCCCAACAGTTTACTGTCTACGCTGCAGACAGTGCATTGCGTTCTGTTGTGCTTGTCCAGTTGTGCACAATCAGAGAAACATCCTACAAATTATAAGACTTCCAAGTTCCAGAAATGTCCATATATGACATTTACACTAGATCAAAAGTTCCATATCTTTGGATCTGTGATACAGATGTTTATACTGGCTGAAAATTTAAAAGGCAAAATTCTACAATATTACCGCACTTGCTTCTCTCAATCTAGTATATTTTGTTTAACCATAGCTTAGGCTGGAGATGATTCTAAATAGTAAATGCCTTAACAGAATGTTACACAATTCTGTAATCATTCATAAAATAGTTTTCTGTAGTAATTCCCTATTATCTATGTATGTAACACAGGAACGTTCATATGCTTTGTTCCTCTTTTTCTACAAATCATTTATGTAATTAAGTCTCCTAATTTATAGAATTTATAAAGTAAACAGCTGTTAAAAAGTCAATTTTTCACTCAAAGCTTCTAAAACACTAATTATTTATGTATCTGAAATATATTAATCTATTTTTCTGATGTTTATTTCTCATGTGCATTAGAAAAACATTTAATCAGATGAATATAATTAGATAAAACACTATGAGGGTGGTGAGACACTGGAACAGGCTGCCCAGAGAAGTTGTGGATACCCTGTCCCCTGAAGTGTTCAAGGTCAGGTTGGATGAGGCGTCACACAGCCTGGTCTAGTGAAGGTGTCCATGGCAGTGGGATTGGAACTAGATGATTTCCAAGCTCCCTTCCGATACAGGCCACTCTATGTTTCTGTAATTTCCCTTTATCAAGTAATCACAATTCCATGAGATGTAATGAGTCAACAAAGACCCATCTAGCTCCTTCAACTGTTCACAAAAATCATTAGTCAGATTTATCTGTAACAAAAAGAAGAATACCCTAATTGCTTTCAACCATAACAACTACAAAAGATTGTATCATGCCATGTTTATTAGATTTTTATGTCATACTGTGCAGTCTCTCATATAGCAAGGTGATACTTAGGACTACAGTGAGAAAATGCCTTCGGAGAACCACATGTACAGTATCTGACACTATTACAAAATGGTTATATTATTTATTTGACCTCGGTTGGTAGCCTTTCCTTCATCCCTTATGCACAAACATAATTAGAACTAATTTTTATAGGCAATATTTACCTCTACCAAGGATATATATGAAAAATAAGAAAATATTAAGTGCCCCTGAACGGGGTTCTAGGAAAATTTCTGCACAAGTAATATGTTTCATCATGGTTAAATACATTTTATAACTATAAACTCCCACAAGGTGCAGCAGGAAAAAGCCACTAAAGTGAGTATAGGATTCAGATATCTACTGAACAGGAGACCCAAAAAATTTGCCTCGTCTATCAAAAGAGAAGCTAAAAAGAAGTAAGACATCACCTACAAACACACTGGAAATAAACATGAGGAAAACCTTTGAATTAGTGCCCAAATGATCATGAAAAAGTACAGAAATTAGACTGTTCCTAATAATTCTAGCAATAATGGAATATCAGAGCAATACAAGCCATTCCTTTTAAGATGCAGGTTCTTATGTTTATGAAAATACTTATATAAAGCTACGTGCCTGGAACTAATCTGTTTGCTGTGACATTCTTAACATTCTCTCTGCCTCTGACATAAAATTTGAAGAGCTTACTGTCCACCTGGAGAGTGAAAATGAACTAAAGCAGGGTCAGAGGAAGTGATGGAAGAAAGGAGAGTTAAAAAGCTTTTTATTTGTAAGCTACATAAAACTGTCTGAAAGAGTACTATAGTTAAAACCATTATATGTCAAAAAATAAAAGGATGAAGAGTTAGAAGGTTTAGCACTCCATACCTGCTGCTGTAATTCTTGTTGATAAGATAATGTTGCCTCTTTGGAAGGCTTTGTTTTTTCTTCAGAATACACTCCTATGCTTCTTTGTCTGTCTCCTGTATTCCTCTGTCCAATGTTACTTCTAAATTGAAAAATCACACATATAAAAGGAAAACATTACAGGGTCCAGAGTGGGGTAAAAAATTTTTTTAAATCCCTTCCTGAAGTATTTAAGACCTGTTGTTGCCCATAGCCTGGCAGTTTATAATCCCAAACATTTTCTTAAATCCATACGAATAGCAGTTCACTGAATTATTTTTTTATTGTCTAGATAGAAATCCTCAATTAGAAGTTTGAAGAGTTGTTTTTAACACATTTTATTTCAAAGGCATATCTGTTCTCAGCAAAATATTACCAACACAAAAAAAAATATAAATACAGATAAATACACCCAAAGAATAAGAATATAGCTAATACTTACACAGGCTGCTCTACTGGAGCTTGGCCTAATGGAGGTTCCAGACTCGGTGTGGGTTGCATTCCCATCATTCCTGTACCATCTGCACAGTAAAAAAAAACAAAACAAACCATATTTTAAATTTTTAAAGCTCAGATATAAGTATTTGTCATTATCTAAAAGAACAGAGTTCACTACTCAAACTCTGTGAGTACTGAACAAACTCCTGTAACAAACTCAGCTAACCCTTAATGCCCTCTAAAGCAAAAAATACAATGCCAAAGTATAAATCTATTTCTTAAATTCAACTAAATCCCTTTATATTTTACAAATTACTGCATTAACATATTCTACATCAAATAGCAAAATTAAATTACTCGCTTAATGGTGACACATCCTCCTTCTTTCCTAACATCATTCAAATCAGCTAGTAAAAGAGCTATTTTTCTACGTTTTTTTCTCCTTTATTTAATTTTTACCATTAAGATAGCACAAAAAAAAAAGTAAAGTATTAATGTTTTTTTCTCTAAAAAAGAAAATAAAAAAAAGAAAATAAGAGAAAAACAAACATCACATAATCCAGTCCCTCCCTACACACATCACAATAGTTTCAATCATGAAATCATCATGAAGCAAAGGACAGGAAAAAAAGGAGTTCTTGAAATATAAAATAGACCACTTCATACATTATTTTAATACATTTAATGTATTAATAAATATCTTTAAAATATTGGTAATTATATGTGTAACAACACCTAAACATGTAATTAGTTATTATTTAAGTGATTTTAGGAAATAATGTTTTAAATAGCAATATTATAAAGAAAATTATCTGGGAAGAGTAACAGCAAAGAATCTGAGACTAGAGCTTGTTCAAGTGACGAACATGATTTCTGAAGTCACAGCCCTTTTGGTTGCTGGAGAAAATTACTTCACTCAAAAACAGTACTGAAAAAAGCCCTTTTCATTCATTACACATCTTAAAAATGGGTTTAATTTGCTGTTACAAGTTCTACATTATACATCATTTAACTAGATTAAAAGTAGTCATATGAATGACTCTAACAACCAAGCCACCTAAAATCATCAACTTACAGTATGCAAGAGCAGGATCCAAAGGATTCCTAGCCCCATAAAAGTAATAAGCATCATCATAAGGTGTTTTATAGTTGTCTGTCAGAACTGGTGGTGGAGGTGGTGGCAATGGTGCAAGCCTTAAAGAAAAAAGGGACACAATTCCTTGGTTTGTTGTACAACTGAAAAGTTATCATCAAAAGAAGAGGGTAGAGGAGAGAAGGAGAGGGAGGAAAATAAAATGAAGCAGGGATGAGGATAGAAAGAGAATTCATTATGGAAAATTTCCACATTTAGTTCAGCTAAAGACCTCTCATTAGTGGCATGCAGGAACAAGATGCAGTAAGTCTCAGTGGGAATTAACCTTCCCTGAGGGAGCAGTACATGAACCCAGACTATTCCAGAGATCTAAAGAACATAAAGCAATCACACCTTCTTTAAGTGGCTCAGTTAATGGTACTTCCTGGCTATGTCAGTAAAGAAAACAAGGCAAGATCTGGTCAAAGGGTGAACAGCACAGCACAGCTTCAGCCACAGGCCTGAAGCTCCTTCTCTCCCTCAATAGCTTAGTCACAATCACAGCACCTAGTGGAAGCTGTCCTTGCCTACAGTGCATTTCTGAGCTCAGCTCTAGGAGCCTGCTTAATTAACAGAAGCCAAACTGGTGCCATGCCAGCCTTCTCAAAACATGGACTCTGCAGGACATGTGCCCAACCATTCTCACATGATTCCATATTACAGACATGGACAGAACAGAAATAATTTCTACAACTCAACCCTTATTTACACGAACATCCACTATGAGAGAGCTGCCTTCAGAGATAATCCAGCCTCCATGGATGTTTTCAAATAAACTATGAGGAAACTGACATAAAAGTTTATTCCAGTGCAAAGCAGTTAGTTTTCTGTTAATTGTCAAAATATTATTTTTACCTTCATCAGTTCCTTGGAGAAGGATCAACAGTACTATTGACCTCTACCTCAGCAGTAATAACATGCTAAACAACAATCTTATTTAACATGTAAAATGAACATGATGGTGAAGCACCTGGGAGCTACCATTTCCCCAAGACTGCTGACTACACTCCTCTGAAAGTCTTTATCACTCTGAGAGTCTTCATTCACTGGAGAGGCTGAACGGGCTGGCATTGGAGTTTGGAAAGCCACTCTGGGCCTTTCAGGAGGTACCTTCTCTTCAAAAGCTCTTGCTGTGAAGCCAAACTGCTTCAATCTATTTGGCTGAAGGAGAAAAAAAAAAAAAAAAAAAAAAAGTAAGAAAAAGAGAGAGGAAAAAAACCAAAACAAAGTATTTACCTTACTAATAGGAAATATTCTGAATCTCCATTTACGCTGGATTAAACACTTCACTGGATCCCAACTTTCAAATTTCAAATGTTCAAATTTCTAGTAATTGCATTTTTTCCTCCCAGTGATCTACTGAGAATCCAGTATTATGAGGAAATACTGGATATTTATAATATGAGGAAGTTTATCAGATGTACAAAAAGCAACCTTGTCATTAGTTTCAGGAAGTATATAAATCTAGTTAAAGTCCAGAAAAAAGAACATTTCCAGAGGTGTCTGTAGAACAGTTTATCTACAGCTGCCAATTTTCCACAGTGACAGTATTCTCATATTATGCATAGAAAAGTTTCTGAAATCCCTCCCCTCCACCACAAGATTGAAATACCTCATAATCAGTAAAATACACACTGAGACTTCTTCCAATAAACATTTCCTTGCAATACCATTATTTTATTTTTTAAATTCCTTTGATCTTATTGATTTTTCAACCACAAAAATTAAGAGTTTTGGGGGGGGAGTTCTTTTTAAAACAGAAGTAGCAAATGTTTATTGATAACTGCAAGCCTCAGAAGAAAGTCAAAAGCAACATGCAAATAATGTGAAGGCATGCAAGTCAGTTTCAGAACTATCCTATCACACCAAGAAAGCCCTTACAGCAACTGCTCTGCATAACTATTCTAATGCTTGTTTAAATAAGGCTATATAATACAATGGGAAAAAATCATACACTGTATAAGAAAAGAGATTTTGCTCTGAATTTATTGGTCCTAATATTGAAGTTCTTCAACTAACATGCATTCGGAGAAAGTAATACTCAAAACCAGCTACATATTAAATATCTACCAGAAAACCATATACCCTACAATATGAAAATATTCAACAAAATATAAAATCTTTACCTCCTCATCATTTAGCTGCAAGACACTATGTACAAGGTAGTTAGTACTCACCAATCAAGGACTACAGCATTTAGATTAAAATTCTCAAAATCTACTAGACATGAATATTTCCTTATAGCATTTAACTTCAAATTTCTAGATGTGAACACAGAATTAGGTAACAGATACTAGCTAAAGCAACTGAATTTTATAAATTTGTCTTTTCAAATCCAGTGTCTTGAGCTGCAGAACACTCAAAACAGCCATTCTCACTAACAACTTTAATCTGAAACCATTCCGAAAGTTCCCCAGATTTCAGCTCTACAGCTGATCTCAGATGTGACTTCAGTACTCAGTTCATCCTGGGGATTGCTTCAGTTTAAACAAGCAGCATATACAACAGTCTACATTTATAGATCCTTAATCAGGCATTGCTATTTAACCAACCTGTAATTAATCAAGAAATGCACCTAATTAGAATCTCTCCCTGAGAGGCAATTTAAAGCTAACAGTGACTGGTGCTTAATGAATGTAGCAATTCAACTTAATTAAAGGCTTTCAGCTAAATTAGTGCTTTTAAAACACTATGCATGCCATGTACTTCCTCTAGATAGAATTTTGCTCCTACAACAGGCACTTTGCAGACTCTGACTGAGATGTGTATGGTATATTGAGTGCTGCAGCACAGCGTGCTTCTGCATAGTCAGCTTTGATTACACAGAACTGTTTACACTGACCTTGCAGCCTGCTGAGCCAGAAGAGCCAGCATCCTCTGCTCTGCTCTGCCTCCTACCCTGCCTGCCTCCCGCTACCCTCTATTCCTCTCCCTTTCACCATGTGAATCCCTGATCAACCAGCTGATCCCTCTATACCAAATAAAGCAGAAAAAAATATTCAGATTTTTGACAGATAACTGAGCTGAATGCGTTTGAAACAGGGACCAAACACACTTCAGGCAAGGAAGGCAGGAACATGCAATAAGACAGGTGGTATTCCTCCCCATTTAGGAGTAAGAATTTTGATTCAGCTTCATCGCTTTTCTGTGTGCTCAGTCTCCTGTCTTCCAAGTTTCATGGAAAGAAAGAAATGGTATCACAGAGTATTCAGAGTTGGAAGGAACCCACAAGGATCCGACTAATAGTATCTTACAGCTAGCTATTCATCCACCTTCATTTTCTAGCAAAGAGGACCTTCTTTCACCTCTACTGAATCCTCCAAAAATGACATAAATTTCAACCTGTGTCAAAGCATTCCCCAAAAACAGGACTGGTGATAATTTAAACCAGTAACCAGTAACTTAATAACCAGTTAACTTAATAACCAGTCTATTCTTGCTTCAAAGTTACCACCCTACATCCTAAACAGCACATCACCATACCCAACCTGCAATGGCTTTGGGCACATAGAAAATACATGCAAATCACACAAGTTCTGTCAGTCTCTGCAAGACTATCAGTCTCCTAATAATGTTACTAGCGCTGACAACCTACTCCTGGATGCATGATAATCAAAATTCTTAACGTAATCATCACCTTACTAAGAAAGTGGAGACAGTAGTAACTCTGCATTAAGTCTTACAAACAATGCAATACCAAATAACTTGCTTTTTACAAAATCCTATAAAAATGCTTGTAATCCTAAACACTTTATCGGATCACTTAAAAAAATACAAATTTTAAATTAAAAACTGTTATAGTGAGATCAACTCATCTGTAAAACAACCTTTTTTTTTTTAATTGAAAGAAAGCTTTCTGCAGCATACTTTGCACTCCCAAAGAAAGGTTACTACTGTGTGCATTTAAGAGGCTACCACTGGACACTAAGTCATTCTTTCCATGAAGAAAGATTTGTACACTGTTGGTACAAATTTCTATTTGGACACAGCAAAAGAAAATGCTCGATAATTTCCATGAAAATATTTTCCTCTGATGCTGAAAGTATGTTTAATGACTTACAGCCGGTGCTGCTTTTGGCTGGGGAAGGGTTAAGTTACTCCACAGTGTCTGGTGTGGGCTGTGTTTTTACTTGTGTTGAACACAGGGTTGATCATACAGAGGTATTTTTGTTATTGCTGAGCAGGGCTCACACAGAGTCAAGGCCTTTTCTGCTTTTTCTGCTGCTACACTGGTGAAGGGCCTGGGTGTGGCTGGGAGCCTGGGAGGAGACACAGCTGGGACAGGCAATCCCAACTGACCAAAGGGATATTCCAGACCATAGGATATTATACTCAATGCAAAAAGATGGGGGAAGGAGGAGGATGTTTGGAGGGATACTGTTTGTCTTCCCAAGATGTGTGATGGCTGAACACCTGCCTGTCCATGGGTAGCTCTGAATTAATTCCTTGTTTTGTTTTGCTGGTGTGTACAGCTTTTGCTTTCCATCTTAAATTGTCTTCATCTCAACCTTTGAGTCTTACCCTTTCTATTCTTTCTTTCCCTGATCCCACTCCACTGGTGGGGAAGTGAGCAAGCAGCTGCTCGTGAGGCTTGGCTGCTGGCTGGGGTTAAACCCTGACACAGCCTCATCATCCTGGGCTTCCATTTTGTTGTACACTGATGCCCTATTAAATAGCCCAACATTTATCATTTTATAGAAACTCGACAGAGTTTTGTGACTGAGCAACCACAGTGTGCATGTGAGAAAAAAAAAAAGAATAGGCTATATAAATGAAAGAAAATCCAAATTTCTTACCTTCTTTTCTGGGTCTCGAGCTCCAGAGGCAGCAACTGAGAGCTCAAGTTCCTTCTCACTGTTTTGTTTTTGTAAAAAAAAGAATCCAGTCAGAAAGCAATAACAACTATATTAATTCCTTCAAAGCACAAATTCACAAATCTATTTAAAAGAACTCTGAAAGCACAGGATAACAGAAGACAATGATTCTACTTGAATTCTTCTAGAATCAGGGAAGGAAATTACATAATATTTGTAAATACAGAGAACTCTTAAGAAGTATCTGGCTATCACCCATTTCACCTAGTAAAAATCCACCTACATAAAAGGAGAAACCACCACAATTCTTTTTTACTACAACTTTTTAGGACATTCCTAAAAAATTTGTGTTTATTCTCATTCAAGAAGTTAATATCAAACACATTGAAATGAATGGTTCAAAATGCAGCAATAAATACTGTTTTGAAATTTCTGGGCTCAGGCTTGTTCTGCATATACAATTTTTGTCACAACGAGACTGTCAAATAGTAACCAATTTTTAATTCCTTATCCTTTCTCTAACATTGCTGTGTGTTTTTATTTATCCAGACTATAATTCAGTAGATAGTGACTAATAGGTAAAGAAGAAATTAATATTTTATTCTGCATAAGCCAGATGATCAAATGCTTTAAAAATGAAAGGTTACTTTCCAAAATTGGAGGGCAAAACCAAAATAATTTTCAACTTTGCCAACTACTTAGGAAATACTGTACCAGCAAAAAAAGATAACTTTAGTTAAAGCTTCTTTATCCTTAAGAAACTAAAAATCAGTTGTAGAAATGAAAAAGTATCTGGGTTTTCTTCGTTGCACTGAAAGCTTGTGAATATGTTCATTAAAAACTAAAGCTCTCATGGTAATGAGTTTAATTAAATGCAATATTACTCAGCTGCCTGGAATCCCTTAGTTATGAAATTGCTTCTTACCACACTGAATCAATGGAATGCCTTTAAATTTCAGCCATTATCTTTTAAGAAGATAGTAACTTTCCATTACCGTCTTTTATTCCGCTGTTGCTCAGCCATCTGTTCTATTAGTTCCTGCCTGTATTTCTCCTTCCTCCTCTGAAGAAGTTCTCGGTCCTGACCACCTAATTGAAATGACCACACATTTGTGTAAATGCTCCACAAAGTACACAAAAGGCACTGGACAAAAACATTGCCTTACAGTCAATTTAGAAACTGAAACACAGCAGACTATACAAACAGTGTTTCTCTACTGACTAAAACAAAAAAGGTATCTAGTTTTAATAGACAATTTGTTTGGAGTATGATGATGAAAATTCTTCATTATTCTTTTCCTAGTTTGCCTGGTTTTATATAGCCAAGAACCTACAAGTTTCATATACATATAGCTTTGAAGATCAGGTAAATTCAAATGAAAAAATTAACAGAAATTATTCTAACAACTGTTAATCTATTTTGCCATAATTCAAAGCTAGCTTGCCTTCAAAAGCTCTCAACCAAAGAATTACTAGAGTTAATTTATTCCTGCCTTATAGTTTCCTAAATTCAGCTAAGAATGCTCTGTCTTCACCAGTATTTCTCTCTATTACTCCATATTAGTGTTTCCTGTTAAATTTTCTGGCTAGAGGAGAGATAACCAGAAAAAGTTTTCCCAGTACAGTTTTCATATTTCTGCAATCAAAATTTGCTGCAAAGCAGTGTCTTTAACAATACAGAGGTTAAGATTTCTCCCATACTTCATTTTGTAAAAATAATTTAATCACATATCTGGGTCTTAAAATGTTAATGAAACCTAAGAAGAAGCTTGGGCTCCTAAAAATTAATTATTAAGTAAAAAATTGATTAGTAAGTTACATAAAGGGGTAAAAGGAATATGTTTTGCTTTAGTTTCTTTTTGTAGATAATTATTTACCAGTCTTGGAGACAACTAGCAAAAGGAAAAACAAATGCTCATTTTTCTAGTTTTTAACTATTCACATGGAGAAATAACATATGCAAAGAAAATCTAACTCAGTGTTATTAATGAGGTTTTTATACATACCAAGAACAAGGCCTGTTGCATACTGCCTTTCACGTGCAGACTTGGCCTGTTCACTAGCTGAAGAATTAATCTGTATCTGATTTCTGGCAAAGACAAAAAAGAAAATGGAGTGATCAAATGCAAGAATTTCCTACACAGGCTGTGGGAACCATGACAGATTCACTTGCATCACTGTGTGACACATTCGTGACAGTTTTCCTACAATCCAAAGAAATATCCCAAGCAAAAGAAGAAACTGCCTGGCAAAAAGGCATTCTCACAATTTCCATTTGCCTGTGGTTTCTGAAGCCATCAGAAAAACTGACTCAGTTGAGCACTTCACCCATGCTGACAGACTGAGTGGTGCCAGTCAAGCGTTTATGTAAGGACTTTACAAGTGTCTGCTTCTGCCTCACCCACTTAGATCATTTCAGGATGTGCAAAACCAAGACAAGAGGAAGAAAACAAATTTTAAAGCTACTATCAAAACAGGATTCCACAGTATTTGACTCAGTAAAAGTTGTCACTTGGAGAACAGGTGTGCTATTAATTCAAAAAGAAAACTGGCATGCAAGCTTCAATGGCCATTTTCAGAGGAAACATGTTTATCTTGTTAAACTATATTCTAGCTGCAGGAAAAAGTATCAGGCATTTCAGACAGTGTTTTGGGATTTGAAGTCAACATTTTTGTCTCACCATGCTTTTGCAGTGCAATTATCAGAAAAGTACATGGTATACCACACCTAGAATATCCAGTTCTTGAGAACAGCTGCATACATGCTCTGTCCTTTAATTCATCTTCATAATCTGCAGGTACATCTCTTACCATTCCATTCAGATAGGGCCTTAAAGAAATAAAAAATACCCATCTATGCTTGTCTAGAAACAGCCAATCTGAAATGGAAGCTTCAGCAGTTTTGTGCAAATGCATTTGCTGCCTGAATGCACACTGGACAGCAGAACCGGTTCTGAAAATATCACAAAATATTCTAGAAATAATTCACTTTGTCAGGGCAACTCTCTGTCTGGAATGTGAATTCCCAAGCCTACTTTCCTGCAGCCCTTATCTAATGAGCCTGGTTAAGTGTTTTGTGAGCTAAAGGGCTTTTGACACTCACACCGCATTAATTGAAACAGATCTTGCTGCTCTTAATCCCCAAGAGCCAACAAAGTCTTCCACAGGTTTTGGCACACAGCTATTGGGTAGGTCTGGTGGAACAGCCATTTCAGATATGAAAAGCTTCTTCAATGACAATCTACACTTCACAACACACCTGATAGACTTTAAAAGGGTGATGTGACTTTTGTTCAAGGCAAAAGACTGACAAGACCGTGAATACAAAAATTCAGAAGCTAAAATTTGAGTCATCTACATAAGAAGTGAAATCATAAGACTGAAACTTCATGTAACTTCAGAGATGCCAGATATTGTATAGACCCAAGAGAGCTGTTCCTGAAAAAGATCTGAGGTAGTAGAATTTATACACTTTTCTCTACTTCCAAAATAACAGCTCTACAATGAGAACTTTAAGTTAACATGATAAAATAGAGCAAAAATAGGTATTCAATGAAAAACATAGTACCCAACAAATGCTATCAAAGTTTCCAGAGCTGGACAGAGCCATGGACTTCCTATTAAGCAAACAAAACAAAACAGAAAAAACAAACAAAACAAAACAAAAAAACAAAACAAAAACAAAACAAAACCAAAAAAAAACAACAAAAAAAACCTAGGTAAACATGGGGAAAAACCTCATTCTTTTACATAAAAAGAACCACAGCTCTGCCAATCTCTAATTTAAATAGAAGCCAATAATCAAAGGCAAAAGGATGCAAGCATATTATTAAACATTGATCTGGCATCTTAACAACCCACCAGAACTAAACGAAAGAACATTTACCCTCTTGGCATAATATGATCTTTCATGATCAAGTTGATCTTTATGACAATTAATCTACTCCTTACAAGGCTAGTCACATAACTGAAACACAGCCAGGAAATAGAAAGCCAAGTCTCCAGTTAATGAAAGGATGTAGGAAAGAAGCAAAAAAAACAAACCTTGGAATTTAAGAGGCAACTGTTTTTTGTAGAAAGCTTAGCACAGCAGGCCCAGACATGTTGGCCCAATTCAATCAAGAAGCTGCTGTCTCCTGTTTACAGGACAGACCTGACAGCTAGGGATGGACTAAAGCATTTCACTTTAAGAACTAAAACATTTTGCAATTCTTCTCACATCCCGGTCACCATTTCTGTTTGTTCAAATAAGCCACAGACCTTGTGTCTCCATCAAAACAGAAACCCTTCTAAAAAGTTCTGTTATGAACATCTGCCTCTCCAAACTAATGAACCCCATATAAAAACCTGAGAACTTCAGTAAAGGAAATAAAAATATGCCTCCTTTTGAATTTAGTTTCCATCACAAATCAAATGTGTTTGCGAAAAGCTGACTTTGCCTGAAATGCAGGAAAAAAAATGCTAACTCTTCAGAAGATGAGCTGTCACTAAGAGGTAAGTTCCTCCTTGAAGAGAGTGAATTTACTTCATAGGAGGTTAAGTGGAGCTCTTTTTCAAAGGAGAAAAAAGTACTAGACTAAAAACCACATTTAATAAAGAAATACTGAAAATTCATTTTCAATAAAAATTCATTTGTAGAAAATATACACAAAAACATCCAAACAATCTTATGGGTAAAATTAAGGCCAGGGAATTTAGGTAATGATCCAGCAGCTTCTTTTAAGAAGATGCATCAAGTCTGCCAAATAGATAAGACTGTCTTCTCTATTCTCTTTTAAAAGAAAACTGGAGATAAAGCAGTTTCAGAGGTCTCTCCAAGTATCTCATGGATTGCCTGATGATATATTCTTCACAGATATTTATAAGCACCATACATTATTTCTGGAATAACTAAAAACTAGTCTACAAATATTCAACATGGTATCTACTGTTGGTTCAAACACCATACTTGCTGATATTTTATTTAAATAGTTCTGTATAAATTCTTTGTGAAACAAATTAAACCCTAAAACATTATCAAATGGTTACTTTTATTTAAATAGTAGACTGCCCAACTGCATTAGACAGTGGCAAACAGCTGCCTAAAAAAAAGAGGATACATCCTTCTGAGTATTAACTAACAGAGAGAATTAAATACTGCTGTTAGTTTCAAAAGACTTTCACTGTCTTTGTTAGACTCTAAGTTAAGCTTCTAATTATTTTTCTTTCTGAAAAGCTACAGGACAAATCCGCTCTATTCTAAAACCTCATTTGCTCATTTCTACCAATAATACACTACAGAATCGAACAAATTTTGAATTTTGCAGTCTCTTCTCCGAATCTCAGCAGAAAACAGGCAATGTTGTTCCTCTCATCTATTTAACCACTGTTTCCATTGCTACTCTTTTTCAGAAACATTGTATGAATAAATATACTTTTTTTAGAAGCACACCAGAACACATAGTCTGAAACTTAGCAATAACCTATTGATTAGAGTCTGCCTCTCCCAAATAGTTTCAGACATTTCATTTTTTCCACAGACTTACCTCCTTTACTATTACTTTTTTAAAGCCTGGGAAAGAATATCAAGAGCTATTTTTGGAGAAAAATTATTCTAACTCTCTTGGCATTTGAAACTGGAAAAGAAATATGAGTTCATTGAATTCATATTCTAATATGAATTTTCTAGCTTTTCTAGTAGAGGAGCCTTTCCACTCCCCTCAGTTATTAATTTGCATACTATCCAGAAAATTATCCCTGTAAACAATGACTCAAAAGACCATTTAACCCATCCACCAGCAACTAACAACAAAACATAATAGCAATATTCAATACTGTTGAGAGTGGTACAATTTGCCTTTGTTGTCCTAGAAGTGTTAATTTTAGCAAAAAGAAAAAGTGTTTATTTTGTCTTGCAAAGGAAGAACACTGGTGGTTCCGTTGAAGCAACTGCAGGAAAATAATTCTGGCAGCAGGCTTAACACAAATAAAAATAACTACAACACTCATGTTCCCAAGACCTGGAAAGGGAACAAATTAACACTTTTAAAATATCATTTGAAAATTTATTTACAATAAACTTTACTGCTTTGTTTAGCTGTATAAACAAATTTCAAATTTGGTGCAGTTTCAGACCGCAAGCCATCTGGTTTTGAAAGCAAGCAGTTCTTGCAATGAATATCTAAAGGTGGCCAGAGTGCCAAACCCTGAGTGACAAGGAATGCTATACTTCTTTTTTCTTTTAAATGAGTAAGCTAGAAGAGAAAGATTAACAATTTATGTCAAAGTAACCCAACTGATGTATCAGTTAACACAGTAAGGACTATTCAATACTGAACAGTACATATCAGTTTTCCCCCTGAATGATTTATGTAAGACACCCTCTTTTGTTTGGTTTGGGCTTTCGTAAATGTTTATTCAAACTGTGTAGTTTTCACAGATACTAGCACCTATTACAACCATCAGGATTTGGTTCAACTACACAGATGTTTAAAGCCTATAATTTAGCAAGACATGGAGTAAAAAAGAGGATTTTTAAAAAATAGGCTTGTACATTTTTTATGCATAGTCACATGTACCAAAAATTGAAGCTCAAACCAATTTTGGAATCTGAACTGAAAACTGACTTGCTGTAACTATTACAGACTAAGAAAAATGAGGTTACATTGTGTCCTCAGTGCAGGGGTTTGCTTTCAAATATGTTTTCTGGCAAACCACTCTTCATAAAATGAAATGTGGGGTACTTTCTCTAGTATCCGTGGTTTGCTACGATACATAAAATGCCTCTTAATATATGTATAGTCTTAGGGACTGATCCAATTGTTCTATAATTATTGCAAAGGTCCTTTTGTTAAGTACAAAAGTACAACAATCCTGCTCTCCCATAGGAATCTTCCTTGATATTTAAAGTGAGTAAACCATGGCCATCAACAAGCACTACAGAAATAAAGTAGAAAACAAAATTAAGAATACCTTTCAGCATAAAAACCCCGGGGAGTTTTTCTGTCATAGGCGCTTTCAGATCTAAATCTAGGGTCCATTTCTGCATTTGTCTCAGGATCACAGTCCACTCTGTAGTATCTTCTACCAAAATCACCATCTTCATCAATTCTGTGATGCTTCCTAGTAGGAATTGCAGACTGGCTAGCAAATCCATGATGCCTTTGATTGGGAACACCCAAATCCTCATCAAATCTTTTATTTAATAGTTGACTTCTCAATTCAACCTCATCATCTAACCTGTGGTACCTGTCTTCCTCCAGCCATCTCTTATTTAGCAGCTCTTCACAACCTTCTGTGGAAGTAAAAGCATCCTTCTTGGGAGGTTCTGCACCTGTATTACAAGGCTGGACTTCTGTATGTAATTCTGGCTGGAGCCTGGTAACAGCATTAGTTGTTTTATTCCTGTGCATCTCATTCTGTTTAATGGAAACAATATTGAGAGTTGAATATAAAGAAATCACATTGAGTAAAACCTTAGTTTTATATTTCTTCAAATAAACCCAAAGCAAGAAAAGCAAGAGGTGAGCAAAGAAAATACTTCAAGAAGTGCTTAAAAGTTAGGGTCTTATTCATTTTTCTTGGAGAAAAAAAAAGTAGTCTTCCTTCTATCTAATGTCTTTCAGAAGAATGGGTATCAATACGGGACAGATCTTTTATGAACTCAAATCTGACCTTCCATTTTTGAGGTGCAAAGAATCAAAAAAACACTTCAAACTTTACTGTATCAAGAGACTAGATATCTTCATTCTACCCAGATACAGGCAAGTCTGTAATACTTCTTACCTATGAGCACAACCTTTTAACCTGAGCGTTTCTTAATCTATTTCACTACTCCTCAGGAAATGTCATTATGAGAAAGGATAGTTAAGTAGATAAAAAACAACCCTATGACACTCTGGACTAGTGTTCAATACACAGTCCTTACAAAAACAATGATTTTGCATAAACCCTGTAGTATTTCTGTGTACTAATCTTTGATCTAATATTTCCGGTATAGAATAAAGACAACAGTACTTTATACTTTGCAATATTTAATGAAAAATAAATTAAGAATGTAAATAGCACCAAACTGGGAAGAAGGATCAATATACTAGAGGGTATGGCTGCCACTCAGAAGGGTCTTGACAAACTGGAAAAACATGTTGACAAAAGGCTCATAAAAACCAAAAAATGCAAAAGCAAACCTCTGCATCTGAGACAGAACAGTGCCATGCACCAGGACAGGCTGGGCACTGAGCACCTAGAGAGTAGCTCTGCAGAAAAAGGCCTGGGTTAGTCGTGGGCAAGGAGCTGAACACCGAGGCAGCAGAGCACGCTTGCAGTGATGACTGCTAACCACACCCTGGGCAGCAGTTTCTGCACAGGTCAAGGCAAGTGATCCTTCTCTGCTCAGCATTTATCTGGCATTTAGGTTCTGTGTAGCATGCCCAGTCTCTGCCTCCTCTCCCCACAGATACTGATGAACTGGAGAAAGTGCAGAGTGTGGCTACTGAGATGGTTGAGGTACTTGAGCTATTAAAGGAGAAACTGACACAGTCGGGTTTATTCAGCCTGGAAGAAGATTAGGGAGGGTGTGAAGATTAGGGCAGGAGGAGCTAGTAATTGCAGTCCCCGTGTAAAAGGTGGTTACAGAGATAGCAGTATTCATGGTTTTCAAAGAACCAACAGCCATAGTTGCAGCAAAGGAAAATTCCAAGGGCATACAGAGGGACGGATGTTCAGATCAAGCAGTTAAAGCAGTGGAATGAGCTGCCCAGAGGACTGTGGATTCTCCATCCTTTCAAAACTCCACCAAATAAAGCCAGACCAACCTAATCTAAACTGTGAAGATAACACTACTCAGACCAGGATTTATCCTATGACTATCTAAACAGTTTGATCAAATTTTGGACATTACATATATAATTTGACTCTCACTCCAAGTTACATATCCCTCAGAGATGGCATAACCTAAACAAATCCTGACCATTTATTTTCTGTTTGTTCTTTTCTGACAATAAAATCATTTCTACACCAGAATAATAAAAAATACAACTTAAAGGTCCAAATGGATGACAAAGCAAAAGGAAAAACTCTTGAGTCCCTAAACGGATTTTCTCAGGTACGTCAGCTTAGGAAACGTAAGTGCCCAAACATGTAGAAAAATTTTAGAGATTTTTAGACTCAGTTGCACAAAAATAAGCTACATTTTTGCCAGTGTTTCCTAGGATCACTGCTGTGTAGCACTTCAAACCTTCAAGGAAGAATGAGATACTGAATTCCATCATCTGAAGGAAGCCTGAATGCTGCCTTCACAAATTAAAACAGTTTTCAACTATATAAAACTTCAGTGCACTTGAAAGAAAATATGTTTCTCCTAAGAAAACAATCTTTCTAGAGACAGACAAACATTCTTCAAGACAGAAATTACAAATACAGGGGGATTTGCACTTGCCAACCCTTGTCAGGAAGACAATAAACTTCCAGCTGTTTTGGATGCAAATACAAGGTCTTTTATAGAATGACCTAGCTTTCACACTACTGTAAACTTTAGAATTTTCATATTAAAAAGAAGTGGAAGGACTTCTTAAACCTTTCTTTTAAAATCTTCTATAAACTTTCACTAGATGAGAGTCCCAAATTGTTACAGTCCATCACTAACAGAGGCAAAAATATTTTAAAAAGGAAATTTAGCTATTCTAGACAAAATTTTAAAGTTAAGAAGATTTTACAGATCAATATATTGCTTTCAGATTACTAAAACAAAGTGTCTCATAACATTGCTAATCAAACCTAAAAGTCCCACTGGCTGCTCCACTAGTTTTGGTTGGGACAAATTTCTTCATAGTAGCTTGTATGAGGCTATGTTTTAGATTTGTGATGAAAACAGTGTTGATAAGACAAGGATAATTTAATTCCTGCTGAATAGCACTAACACAGTGTCAAGGGCTTTTCTGCTTCTTACACTGCTCCAGCATGGAGGCTGCAGGTACATGGGAAGCTGGGAAGGGACACAACCAGGATAGATTATTCCAACTGACCAAAGGGATATTCCACTCTACAGGGGGTCATGCTCAACATGAAAGAAGGGGAACATTCTGAGTTCCAGGGATTTGCTCAGACACACAGAACAACAAAAGCATCCTTCTACCAGACAGACATGATGGAAGCAGGAATCGGAAACTGCACTATGCGAGTTGAAACCAGGACTTGCTTAGATGCATTAATAAAAATAACATTATTTGTGTATTTTGTCTTACTTTGTACATCTGGGTCAATGATAAGACTATAAAATTGTATTACCTCTCTGTTTTTCTTCCCTAATCTCCTTAGCCTTTCATTCCATTCTTCTTTATCCCTGAGATATTGATTGTACTCCTTGTTTCTTTCAAGCCGTAATCTCTCCTAAAACAGGCATTGAAAAGGGCATCATAATTTTGCATTTTTAGTAGCTTTTAACTTCATAGAACTTCAGTACTAAATTAATAAATGCAAATTGTGTGTTTGCCGCCCTCCCCTTCACATTCTTTGTGATGTACAAGAAAGGCTTGAATTACTTTGAGGTTTTAGCTCATTTTCTCTTAGCATAGCACTTTCTCTTAATCTGAAATCTGTAAGTATAAGTCAGCTTCTTCTGCATGAAGTCTAATCCCCAGAGACACAACTGTGCATCAAGGTTCATCTTTAAAAACCTGTAGGTTTCCTCTTGCTAAGCCTATTCCAAAATTTACCAAAGCTTCACTCCAACAATTAGGAATCACCTTCTAATTTCCAATCTGAATGTATTTACAGCTGGTTTTCAAACATACAATTTCTTTCTTTGTGTTAAGGTTAATTGTGACTTGCCCCCCTCACAATTAAAACAATATAACAAATACAAGTGTAGACAAGATGTATCAATTACAATTTGAACTGTCAAATTCAAACAAGCACTTAAACTGACTGCAAATAGTCAAAAGTGCAAAGAATGCAGGACCTATGCTTGTTGCCCTAGCCGTTTCTGCAGCATGATAACATTTATAATCAGCTTTCTCAGGTTTAAAAATATACATGAATTGTACAACAACAGCCTGATCATATAATATGAAATACAAAAGTCTCCAGATAAAGCAAACTATAATTTGTACTATTTCTTGATATTAGTCCCCATTTAGAGCATGGGGTATCTCTTATATTACCTCATTCCAACAATCATATAAAGGAAAAAAGAGAATTATACTACAGTATTATGAATTAGGCTCTTTTCCACTGCGGCATTTTCCAATAAAAAAGCACAAGTATTTACAAAATCTGAGCATCACACATAAATTTACTTTCTCATTAACAAATTTCAAACAAAAATAATTTATATCTCAATCATTACATAAATACCAGATTACTAAAAGTTTTGCAGATTAGACTAATCCTCTCCAAAAGTGTTTCATTTTTTTTTGGTTTTTTCCCTAGGAATGAAAAAGTTTTCTATTGGTTTTCTAACAGTGACAATATAAAGCACGCAGACAGCCATGAAAGTTGCACTGTCTTTAACAGATGGCAAAACACTCAGCAGAAAATTCAATACGCTATGTGACTGCACATTTGACCTAATAAAGCAAACCAAAATGCAAATGTTAACCTCTCAACATTCTGCCCAGACGCCAACTGATTAACAGGGCACAGTGTGACATCTCCTGGCAGCTTTTAGGTTCTGCAAGAGCAGCAAATAGATGGCTAAAAAGGATACAACACCCCTGCACAGAGTTGATATGATATAAACCCACCAATGATAAGACATGCTTCCAGTACAAATACACCTTTCATTTCCACAGTTAATCAAAAATACTTTATTATTCTCTGTTTCAGCACACATACTTGCAAGGGTTAATGCAAAGTTCATGAGAACCTGAAACTAACATAAACTCAGTACATGTGCATGCTTCCCTGAAGTCATTTCCCCCTTCCTGGGTGTTTCATTCTTGCTGCCTCCTTTTAACACTTGTATAACTTGGAGTTTAGGGCTTTTTCATAAAAGCAATTTTCACTTTGAGTTCTCACCTGGCTCCTCCTACAGCCAAACCAAGAGCACAAGAGGGACAGAAAGTTTGAGGATACAGGCAAGGCCAACCCATGCCACAGCAGGAGTCTTGCACCAGATTGCAGTGACAGCATAGCCCCAAACACAGATCAACAATGCAACTTGAAAGCAACAAAGATTAAAAACAAAATCAAAAACCAACAAAACCTCCAAGAGTGCAAATGTCTGGTCCTCCTCCAGCCACACAGGTTAGGTTATCTTATTGTGCTGAATCCCTGCTGTTCTATGACCAATCTTAATAACCAAACAGTAGTATTTGTCAGAAAAAAATATTGATAAATTGTTGCTAAATTACAATGTTTCTGCTGATTCAACTTCATGGATTAATTTACAAGCAAACACAAGAAAGAAACAGACTGTAAGGCCAGCAGCGTGAGGGCAGGAGATCAGATCAATAGTGATTGCTGAACAAAACCCAAGCACAACCACTAGAGGTTTAGAACAGATCAAGTGCTCTAAAAGTGTGGATCAGAGGTAGCAAACCTCAAACTAGTATCGGTATAGAATTATATCTACGTAATAAAAACCAAATATCTAAAACTTATTAATACAGGTAACCTAGGATTAAAAATTTAAAAAGAAATTGAAGAAAAAGACTTTTCTGAGAATTACTACTAATTACCACCTCCAAAAACATTCATTTGTGTAAGAAAAAAAAAAACACACAAAAAAAAAATCACAATATTTTTTTCTGTAATAGTTTCAAAACCCAGGTACATTTTCGAGTTATACTCCATTTAATTAATTTCCTTCATATATTTACCTTGGCAGATCTTCGCTCATCAATAGGAAGAGATAACCCCTGAGTATATGGATCTACTTCATCAGCAGTCAGATAATTTTTCTACATTAAAAAAAAATTTTAAAACATTCAATACACTTTAAAATACCAAATTTTACTCATTAAAGAGCTGTTAGGTATTACATTTTCTCAAGTAATTTCAGCAATTTGATGAAACAAAGACTGAGACAATCTTTACATTCTGAAAATGTAGGATGTTCTTGGAACACATAAATGAAGTGAAGTCAAAGAATGCAGGAAGTAAATGTCTTTACCAAGTTTTAAGCTTGAGTTTGAAAGTGTTTGTCATTTCTTCCATGTTAAACTATTTCCAGTAGTATGTAAGTTTTATTTTAAAAAACTATTTTTATTCAAAGAAACCCCACTCAGTTCTTCTGTAGCACAAACACAAGTGTCTGTACAAACCTAAAAGGAATCTTCCAAGACACTTTCTTACTCAAGATGAAAAATTGCTTTTCTAACAGCAGAAAACGTATGTCTTCCTCTTATTTTAACAAATGGAATTCATGCTAACAGTAGCACACCTCTAGCTCAACGGTGTTTCCAACACCAGCAGTGCCCAAATTTTCCAGGATAATGACCCACCATCAAATTTTGTCATTCTTTATGGGCCATCAGCCACTTTCAGAGCAGAATTTCCCATCACAACCAGTAGCTGTTGCTCCACATATATCCCTGGAGCACAGCTTGGGACCTGGCTGTGCAGCAAGTCAAACTACCTGCTCTTCAAACCAAATACCAGTACTGGTGCAGGCTGTTAACAGTCCAGGTCTAGAGGGTTTGTCATACATCACTCCTTTATTAAAAGCATACCCAAGCAATTTCCAGTCAATCATATGCATTATAAATCTTATGAATAAAAAGAGCATCTATTTGTATGTCATAGGCTGAATGGTGAGATACACATGAGTATTTCACAAGCACTGCTCTTCATAATTTCACAAGCTTGTGAGTATTTCACAAGCATTGCTGTCTTTGGTTATCTATGTTGCAATGCGGCCTAAATGCTGAGAGGAATATCAAGAAGTAAGAGCTCTACCTGATCCAGTACAAACCTACAAAACCTACATCATTATAAATGACATTTCAAACTAGATATTAAAAGATTTAAGGAATATAATAATCATGCAAAGATATTCAAGCACCAAGACAACTAGATTTATATGGAAAACCAAGTTATCTCTACTGGAAAAAGTAAATAAATTGTAATTCTCATTATTAAGTAATTCTTTGTATGCATTTTGAAGATATCTCTACAGATTACCCCTAATCTTACAAACATCTTTTCCAAAATCAGAACCTGATATGGAAGCTGCATTTTTCTACATAAGTTATTAACAAGTTATTAACAAAATAACTTGTATTATTAAGTTATTAACAAGAAATTATCACTGTGAGAACTGCTAAAAATTTCACCAGTTTTCTTTAGGTGGGAAAAAGAAATTAGAGATTACTATCTTAGTTCTTGCTCAGTCCTTACCAGTTTAATACAGCTAACATGACTATAACTAGACCAAACACACAAATAAAAAGGCTTTGTAAACCTTGAAGTCCAGAGAGAATAAAACTACATTAGCTAGAGTAAACATGAGTAAAACTACATTAACTAGAAGTTAATGTAAAAATTATATTATTTGGGTGGTTTGGTTAATAATTATGAAACATTAAGTTTTAAAATTATATTCTAACATTGAAAAGAATCAAAATTATTTTTGGAGTTTTAAATTAATCAAGAAACAAAAATTACATAGGGATGATTTTGGTTAGAGGTTAAAAAGACAGTTTATTCTGCTGTTGCTGTTGCTATTTAAGAAATCCAGTGCATGCTAATATAGACAATTTGTATCATATGCATGTTATTCAAAACCCCAGAAACAAACAGCAGGCAATGTTTTAACCACATTACCTCCTGGTCCTTTACTGATGTTGCTCAATATGAGCAACTTGGATGGACAGCATTAAATTTCAAAATTATAGATACACAAAAGTATAAAAATATTTTAAACATTAAAATTAGTTAAACAAAACTTGTAAAATTAACACCAGAGGTATTATTTTTTCTTCATTATGCTTGTTTGTATTCTTGCATTCTGGCCAGTAGGTGCTAAATAACTGCCTCTACTGCTTCCCTAAGCACCACTGAGGAGTGGAGACAGAAAAGAAAAAAGCCCTGACTCTGGTTGCAATGATATATTTTATATTTATGTAAGTTACTATTTTATTCTAGCTTTATAAAATATGCATACCAAGAAAAAAAATCCTGAACTCTTACTATCTACATAACTGATAATCCCTGAAGCAAATGGCTAGTAAAATAAAAACTACTGTAGAGCCAGCATTAGACAGCAATAATGGCAACTGCATAGGGAAAAGTAAATCAACAAGTGTTTAAAAACTTATGAATGGAAAATAATATATGTAAATAATCATTTTGCAGAAAGCAAGCAATGTTGTTAGTCACAACTAATCACCACAGCATGCATAAATGCACAAAGCACAAATAAAAGTAATGATTTTTTAAATTCCAAGAGCATCAAGTTTTCAAACAAAGCAAAAAGCAACTAATTTGAAAGAAAAGAAAATAATATTAAAGGCACCCTACCTTTCTTTTTGCCTGTGAAATTCCCTAAAAATCAGGGAAAAGATACTATTCAAAAGGAGTCTTTGAGTCAGAAATATTTGACTTAACAATAGATACTTCCTTTCTTAAAGAAAATCCATTCACTCATTTTAAGAACTAAAGACACTGGTAAATAGTATTTTTATAAAACAGAAATTATTTGGTTTCTTATTTTTTTCTGATTCATGCAGAGCAGCTACAGAATATTCCCAAGATGATATTTCATACATATAATTTCAATTTTAAATTTATTGTGACATTTAGTAAATAATTTTAAGTGGAACATCAAAGAGTTTTCTTTCTAAAATTGAAAAGAAGCTGTCAAATGGAGTCACACTATGTACAGGGATATTCTTACCTCAATTACAGACCACAGAATATATAAGTACTTCAGGAAGTAACAGCTTTAAAATTCTTAACAAAACAAAAAACAAGGAAGAAGCAAAAACAAATAAACAAACTATTCAGAAAGAAGTGTACTAAATAATATGTAGTCACATGGCAACAAGATCTGTAGAAGCCTAAAATACATAAACAAAATGTTTTGAAATTACTTTCACTCAAGTCTTCAAAATTAGCCATTGCTTAGAATGAATGCCTACTTAAAAACTTTTCTACAGATATTTTCATTCAATTAAATGAGAGAATAATTTTAAGAGACTCACTAAAGTCAAGCAACCAGACAAGACATTTTACCTGAGAAAGATACCGCCTGTAATCTTGTCGAAGTTCCTCTTTGAGTTTATGTTTTTTTCGTTCGTATTCTTCTCCAAGAGGCAAACTCAAGCCATAGTCACCTGAAAGTTTAACGTCGTTAAACATCATTATCTACTATTCTGCATCAACACAAAGCTAAAGCTATGTCTGGATTTTTATTAGAAACAAGCAATTTAAAAAAATTAACCATACAACCAGTAATTACACGACAGCTGAAAAGAAATACCTTCTCTGTATGAGCAGTTGGGTGAAAAACATAGAAAAATAGACTGGTATTTGGATAGCTTTCCTGTCATCCTTTGACTTTTTCTTCCCATTACCAAAAAAAAGCAACATAAGCTGAATTTATTTGAATAATGTACATATTTCTTGTGTCAATATATGTTTCCAAAGAAATCTCCTTTGACATGTGAGCTTCTAAATTATTGATATTTTAAACTGTGTTTACCACACAATAGAAAACATACTTCGCAAATGCAAGCAACAAGCTATCTGTTTAGCATGTGAAAAATTTGTTTGCTCCTACACAGCTAGAGGGAATCTGGCCATGTGATTAAAAAAAAAAAAATCATTATTTTTCTTTCCACCTCAGTATTTTTCATTGTAGTAGACCCAAAACACATAAGTACTTTTCTGAGATTACTCATAACAGCTCAGTTCTCATAACAGCCGCACTCTTAAAATATAATAAAATATAATGCTATGCAAGCTGTTTGCTATTCCCAAAATGCATTTCAAAGTACTTTATAAGAAACATCCTCTAGCCCACAAGCCCATCTCTGCAGTCACTTTCATCACTCTCCACAGAGTAGTGAATTCCACAAAATCACACAACTAGTGACAATGATTACAACTGAAAGTGAGTGTGTGTACTATTATTATTTCATATTGTTTCTCTAAAAGCATTTCTACCTCTCATGATCTATGCAAAATTAGTAGCATGGGGTAAAAGGGAAGAGAAGGATATTCAAGATTTATTCTTAGATCAGTCCTGATTTATTGTAGGGTAGTTTGGCCTGGCTCAAGATACATACGGACTTCCTCTATCCTCATGAGCCAGGAAAACAGTGTAATAGGGAAAAAGTGGCAAACAGGAGTCAGCCTGATATTCAGACCAGAGGACCCAATACCTGATTAAATATCTCCTATGCTATTCTGAAACAGCCTGCAGAGTCCAACCATTAACCAAAATCTGCACAGGACCTTCTTCTCCAACCTGCAAGTTCCTTTTTCCCTAATTTTGCACATAAGGTGAGTTCTATTTAAAAATATAATGCAGCATTTCAACTTCAGAAAAAGCATTATAAAGCAGAATAGAATACAGAGAAAGAAATAGTTTGTTTCAGGTACTTGCTCTTGCCTTTTATTTTATGCCTAATTACTGTTGAATTAATTCTAGGAAACTGAAAAAAGATAAAAAGCAACTAACAAGTTGGAGGAAAGATTCATTCAGTAATTTCACCAATGCCACTGAAAATCAATACCAAAAAAAAGGAGAAATGGAGTGAGAATCCAGTGCTTTGATTCAAATAGGTGAAGTGTTCAAACAAAAGACAGTTGAAAATTAATTTTGTTACAAAGAACTTTTTTCTGGCCACCAGAAAAGCACTCGGATAAAAATTATGGGTAGTGATTTTGGGGATATTTGAAAACAACCCATTTCAAAAACTTACTCTTATAGAGCCCAGCAGAGCAAAACCACTCCAGTTAACATACATTCAACCTAATTTCATACAAACTTTGTCCAAATTCTTCTGCCAGAGTAAGAGATACACCTTCTTTTTAATTGTTTTTTTACTTTTGTTTATTCTGTATTTTTTGTATCTATTTGCCATTTCACATTCTATTAACCCCAAATAATCGCTGACAATGATTGTTTTTAAATGCTAAGATTTTAAATGTGTTTTTACATAAACATTTCCACGTATGTAATGTTGAGAAATAACTACAACTTTATTCAGTCTGAGCCTCAACACTACTGCCAGAACTATAGAATATACTTAGTAGATACCAAGGAAAAAGTCCCATCTGATTTAATCCACAGGAAATTACAGTGCTTTAAAGCAGAGCAAGCCAGTAATATCAGCAACCATCCATTTCAGCACCTAAATGATTATTATAGAAAGTGCTGGGCTTGGCTGTGGTAGCTAATTTTCCTCATAGTAGCTGGTATGGGGCTGTGTTTTGGATTTGTGCTGGAAGCAGTATTGTTAACATAGGAATATTTCAGTCACTGCTCACTCAAATTTCCTGCTTCTCACCCCATCCACCAGCAAGAGGGCTGGGGATCCACAAGGAGTTGAGAGGGGACATGGCTGGGACAGCTGACCCCAAATCATAGGGATATTCCATTCCATATGGCATCATGCTCAGCAGCAAGGCTAGAAGGGAGGTTGGTGAGATCTGCTGCTCAATGACCTGGGCACCAGTTGGTGGTGCAATTATTTCACATTTGCATCACTTGTCCTTTTTGAGTTTTACTTCTTCCTCTTTGTTCTTTTCCCTTACATTACTTTCTTTTTTCAAATATTAAACTGTTTTTATTTCAGCCCATGAGTTTTTTCATTTTCACCTTTTCAGTTCTCTGCCCCCACCCTGCTGGTGCAGAGTGAGCAAGTGGCTGTGCTCAGCTGCCAGCTGGGGTTAAACCACCCCATGGCAACCCCTACTTTTTCTTTTCATTTAAGATCACCTGAATGCCCCCCATCTGTAATACTTCATTGTGTTAGTATATCCAGGTGTCAACAGGTCAAATTTACATGCAATTATAGCTCTCCAACAAGAAATAAAACTATTTTAATATCAATAAAGCTTAACTGTTTGGTAATGGCCTGCCACAGCCAGTGGCATACTATCTTTTGTGTTCTGCTTTCTGTATCTTATGTTTCCTCAGTCAAGAAAATAATTATCAGCACCAGCAGTAACATGCTGAACCAAATAAAACTGCCAAAAATATGTGATAGATATTTATTCAAGTGCTGCCCTCTAACCAAGTTTATCCATTATCACTTCTGGAGGCAAGGAATATTCAATTACCATTTCAAGTACTTATAAGTGAAGTTTTCCTCTAAAGGTCTTTGAGGAGCTTGTCTTGCTGAAGGCTGGAAGTTCTATTTATACAATATCCCCATAAAAAACATGTTTTACTTATGCAGCTAAGGCCAGTTCAGACCCACAGATTCACAAGCTCAAGCTCCATCCCACTAGAAGCTGCAGAATTACACCAGAATCACAGTAGGCACAGTATGAAAATTAATTATGTACTAACCCAAAGTGTCTATATGTGAAAGAAAAGAGTTAATTATCAACAAGAAATAGGACACAGAAAAGCTCTAAAGCTCTCAGGACAAACCTGAGCCACACAAGTGTAGCTAGAAAAAACAGTAGTGCCTACAGAAGGGAGATGGAAGGACAAGTAAGAAAAATGAAGAAAAGAACACTATCACACTTTTCCAATCAAACGTCACAAAGAACATAGAGAAAAGAAGAAAAAGGACAATATATAAAGAAAATAGATATTAAGCTGGTAGCCACATCAAAATAAATCTAACCATTTCACCCGGTTAAGATTTCAATCAAAATTAAGTACTTGTTCTTTTCTTGCACAATTAATAACTATATTGTAACAAAATTACAATAGCAATGAGAACAGTTTAAACTGCCTGAAAGAAACAATTTAAAAGAAAAATTAGTTTAACTGTGTGCATCTTAGCCAAGTTGGACTAGGACTCTTAAGAGGCTGAAAGAAAGAGGCCCTAATTCCCTGGAATGTTCTCTTTTGTAGTAAAGTTCAGATGAAAAATGGACTTTTACAAATTTCGCTCCACCCAAACACAACAGGAAAGGACACATCACCTATCAAGGACTGGCAAGCAAGTTTTTTGGGTTGTTCTTTATTTTTTTTGTGTGTGTGTGTGTGTGTGTTCATCTGGGGTAGTTTTAATGGCACTACCTTGCAAGAAGAAAGAGACAGCTTTTGGCATATTTTCCTGCAGACAAAAAAAAAAGAAGAAATCCCAACTACAAAAAAAAAATTCATATAATGCCAAGACTTTTGGAAGACTAAAGAATTATTATGCACTTGAATTACAATGATCATCCTAATGATTAATGATACAAAGTAGTAATACCCTTCCAAAAATTGTCAAAGGTAATTAAATGCTACTTAAATCTAGAAGACATAATAAAAAATAAAAAATATATTGTACCTAAAGTGTAGTTCTGCTGACTATTTGGAGGTATATTTTCTTTAGCCATGGAGATTAACATCTTGCTAGTTTCAGAAAGCTTCTCTGATTCCTTATTCTGAAAACAGAACAAAATGCCTTACTGCATCACAAAGTAGAGGAAATATCACACAAAAGAACAACATTAGTGATGTAATTATTAGCAGTGGAGAACAGAGAGTTTTAAAGTAATGCTGGATTAACACATTAAAATTACTAATAGGAAAGCTGTGATAAGAACAGATCCCGCTAATCAGCTTCCCTAAGGAAGGGTGAAGGAGTAATAAAAACCATGTACAAAACTCTTCTCACTTGCAAAACACAAATCTTACTGTGTATGCCTAGTGGCAAACAGGTTTTTAAAAATCTACAAAAAGATATGAAGTACTCAAGTTGGAAATTACTTTGAATAGATAGATCTTCAATATATTCTTTAACAACAAATACAGTTTTAAGAGCACAGTAAAAATCTTCAATCAAGACTTTGGCACCAGAAGTATTTAAATTCAGGAAAGCTTTTTAATACTCTTACCCTCATTTCCATGTAAGGTGGATCATTTTCAAGTTCTGCCTTATCTTGTGCTAACTTGGCCTTCTGGTCCTCAATAAATTTTTCTAAATCATCCGCCATCATTTCTAGGTTACAGAAAAGACACAGAACATGGCATTTACATTAGAACCTCAAAAATTTAAAGCTCAATTGCACTTGCTTAAGACAGCAGTTAAAAATAATCAAATTTCTCCCTCGGAACTACGAGCCTTAAGATATTTGCTGGGTCAACAAAACAACTGACTTGCGAAACCCACCCATGGAGGAGACTACTTGATGCTTCACCAGAGAGAAAATTAAAAGATTCCAGATTACAACACTGGAGATACTTATCTAATCTTTTTTCCTAACATGGTTGAAGTGTTTGGGAGTTGTTTGTTTTAACTGCAAGTCTACCAGTGACCCTTCACTACACACTAGCACAAGCTTACTCCTTGTGAACTATAAAATCAAAATTAGAAAACACATAAAAGTAAACAGGATGAAGGAATCATTAGAAAAAAAGTACAAAAAGTTAAAAATACCTGTACAGTCTAAAATAAGGACCAAATCACACAATTCTGTGCTTAACTTACAAGCATGAGAAGTCTTAAAAATAATCAAGCTTCCTCAAAACAAAACATAAATTAAAAAAAAAAAAAAGCTCACAAAATACAAGCATAGTGTTTCTGGGGTTGGAGGCAACAGTACCTACTTTCTGTACCATTAAAATAGCAGAGGCAATAAGAATAGCTAATAATCCTAAAATCAGGGATATGAGGAAGCATTGACTGAGAATCAGACACTGTAAGAAAACATGTAGTGAGGAAGAGCTAATTACCTCTCTCCCACTAGTTGTGTACCTTGCATATTTAACTGGAAGTCCTTCCGAGCAGAAAGCACCTGATTTGTGGAATTTAGTGTATATTGCTGCTTTCAATAACCTCATAATAAAAACTAAAGTCAATCAAGTTCATGTCAATGGAATTGTACTTAAGTTGAGTTAGACTAGTCCTATCAGAACTAAAAATACTGCAAAGCATGCCAACCACTTATAGAAAGAGAAAGACAAAACCAGCAAGAATGACTGCATACAAGCCTACTCATCCTAATCTCTCCCCAGCATCTTCACCAACTCCACTGCAGAAGGAGTTTTACAATACCAAGCTTACTGGCAAAAAAAAAAAAAAAAAAAAATCCTCAACTTAGATTCCACACTTAAAAGAAGCATGAAACTAAGAAAATTATGGCCCTCAAAACACTCCATGCAGCTTAAGCAAAAGGATTGCTTATGCGGGTTCCTGAAAAATCCCATCACATCCACTATCTTAATTAATACAGCAGGTTTTTTTCAGGCTAATTCAGTATCTTTATAAGGCTGTATGAAGTAAACAAGAGGCCAATGATAAAACTATATTAGAAAACAGTTTCAGGAAGAGGACTGATGAACTTAAAAACAACAGCAACAAAAAAAACCAAACCACCACCTCAAAGATAGTAAGGTACCACACAGGTAAACATAAAAATAATATGTCCAGAGAGACTGAGATAAATTCTCAGTAGAAGTAAAATGAAGTAAAAAAATGCACAAATTCTCTCCGATAAAGTGAAGTAAGTGCATGCTAATTTAATTTACAGAATACATTTGCCTGATGTATTCCTTAGAATGTAATCCTTTGAACTTCTTCTCTTTTTTATTCATAATATAAAATTATAGTATTGTTACAAAGGAGGCAGAACTAGGCCAACCCATTTACAATTCCTAGTGGTAATACAGGACAATCAATGCCAAAAATAAATCTCCCCCATCTGATTTGTCCTAAATCTTTAATCTCATTAGTTTTGCACACTGATAAAGGATAAAAGAAATCTGAAAGAGGATAAGTTCCTAGGCATGGTAAATTTTATTTAGCCTATTAGGTTACATAACAATAATGATAAAACTGTTCTGAACGGGTAAAACAACTTGTCATACTAAAAGAAGGTGGTTTCACCACCTACCCAATGCTACACAGTCATCAAGAGGAAAATTAGCACACGTAGGAGGCACTGTGAGAAGCTTTTCCAAAAGCTCACTGACAGTAACATCTGTATTTCCTATCTCTATTTACAACAGCATTTATAAACTCCAGCACTGTTTCCAAATCACTGTATGGGAAAGGAAAGGAGTCTTTTAGTGTATTTTCTAACTAGCATGAGGAATACAATTAATATTGCAGCATTCTGCACTCCTATAATATTGTTCAAAAGAGCAATATAGTAAGTTAAAAACCAAAGACAAAACAGTTACAGTTAAACTACACAGGGAATTCGACTGGTGTGAAGAAAGCTGGCAACTCCAGGCCTTGGAGAATACTAAGCTGACTAATGCTACAGCACTGTTGATTCAGCTACCTTTAATACAGCATAATTGCCTGGAAAATTCTTACCAAATTCTTCACATAAATATCTAGACATTTTATGTCTTAACTTCCTTCTACCCGTGTTGATCTTCTTAAAATATGCATGAGTGCAAACTCTATGAGATAAGCAAAAAGAATATATGATAGCAAAAAAGAAAAATTTCTTAAGTTAGTCCAAGCAAAAGAGTGACAGCTTCAATGTGACACATACACTGTTAAGTTCCAAAAATATACCAGCATGCAAGCAAATACCCTACTGAATATTAGTCAGTTTTATCATCTAGTATACCATGTGAAGATATCATGACTAATCACAATAAAAATAAAGAAAGAACACATTTCTATATGAGACAAGGGCTACCACAGCCCTCAGGAGTGCAGTAAACTATCTTGGAGGTGACAGCACCGAACTCACAGGGGAATGTCAACTTCACACTGACTTCCCATGACTGCACAAACACACTGAGGCACAGCCTGACACTACAGCACCAAATCAGAGCAAAAACATTTATTTTCAGTTTAGCACTACATTTGAATTCTTTTTCTGCATGTCTAGGTCCTTGCAATTACTAGTTAAACTAGCAGATTCAAAACCAAGCTGGGACACATCACTCCATGGGCATGTACAGAGCATGAAAGGGAAGTCAGAATATGCTGTAAACACTTAAAAATGTATCCCTATGCCCTCGAAATTATGAGGTGTAAGCGTATTTCTCTAGCTTTCTGGAAAAGAGAGTATTTTGTAAAGGCATTTCTAAAAAAATTTTGATTGGATGTAGCTATCAGCCTTTCTTTAGCTCTTGTTAAAGAAAGATAATTTGTATTCCCAAAATATTGCATTATTCGAAGTCAAATTCCATTAAACATACTTCTCTTTTATATTCAAGTACTGTCTGAAAATGTCCCATAAAAACATTTTACATACCTTTTCTTTCAAGAAGATTTTAGATTTCCATAGCCTCTTTTCCTTATTCAGAGTTTTCACAAAAGCAACTCTGAGTAATTAGAGTCACCTAGGTAGACTTCAACTTAAGCAAACATACCAAGCAATAGAAAGCATGCAGATACTCAAGAACAGTAAGTCAAGTTTGAACAGGAGATTTTTATTGGATCTATGCCCAAAGAGAGTTAACAATGTATGTCTCTCTAGTCAAGGTATCCAAAACATCTATGTGCATATGTATTGTATGTACTATATTTACCTATGTATTATGTAACTATTTTATCACCTGAAGCAATGTTTACTGTATCCCATTTTAATCTTTCCCTTCCCCTCCTAATTGTTCAGGAAAACACACAAAATTTAAAATCAGCATGTGCAAGTAGATTTCATCTCTTCTATGCCACCATAATATTGAAATATCAGCAGGAGCACCTGCAAAAAGGCAATTCTTATCCACGTGAACTGCAGCACGGGTGGCAAGGAGAGAAATGCTTTGAACGAGCAAAACTATATGCCACGTTTAGAAATTGTACTTACAAGTTATACTGCCACTAATTGTGTCATTAAGAAACACTGTTCAAAGTTTAACCCAAACTTCCTGAGGAATTAATACTGACTGCTTCTGTACCCTTGTGAATGGCACTTAGAATAAGCTACTGTGGCCAGAGACGCGCTCTCTGTACTTTTATTTAAAATTCGTTGCAGAAAAAAGCACAGATTCAAGGGTCTAGCCGTTGACAAATAATAAACTCTTGACTAAAGCAATGCGATTTTTTCGCAACTGAGAAGGCAATCTATCCTCTGAATAACGAAGCAACAAGTTTGGCGAGTTACTTTCCCTCCACTACAGGACTTATCTATTTCTTAGAGTAGGTAATTTGATCCGAAAATACACTAATTTCGAAAAACTTTCAGACCCAGGAGATCAGGTTTATTTCTGCAAGAGCGGCAGCTCGGGCAAGCCCCTCTCCCCCGGCCTGCAGCGCTCGCCTCCCAACCTCCCTCCTCCCCTCCTCGGCAGCACCTCCGGCACTCCCGGAGGCTCCTACGCCCCGGGGAGCAGCTGCGGGGCGGGGATGCGACACTCGGGGCTCGGCCCCTTTCCGGATGGCGGCGCCGTTGTCAGGCAACGGCCGCACAAGCGGCCCCACCGGAGGGCCGGAACCAGCCCAGCCCAGCCGAGCCGAGCCGAGCCGAGCCCCGCCAGGAGCCCCCACGGGGACCCCCAGACCCAGCGGTACGCCCCGGGCGCGCCCCCGCCCCGTCCCGCTCCGGAGCCCGTCCCGCTGCCCAGCAAACCCCCTTCGCTCCCGCCGCCGCCCGCTCCGAGCTGTGAGCGATGCTGGCGATGGAAGCCCCCGGCGGGTCTGTGAGGAGAGTCCCCGGGCGCCGCGCCGCCCCCGCCGCCCGCTCACCGGTACCGGCAGCCACGGCTCCGTCCGCGCCCCGCGCGTTCCTGCCGGCCCGGAACCCGGCGGGCGGCGCCGCGCAGCGCCCCCCGCTGCCCCGGAGGGCGGCGCGACCCGGCTGCCACCTCCTCCCGGGCGGGGAAAGCAGCGGGACGGGAGGCGGCAGCGGGCGCGCTTCCCGGGCTAGGGCAGGGTAGAAAGGACCACAGCGGGTCACCTGGTCCAAGCTCCCTGCTCCAGCAGGGTCACCCTACAGCACATGGCGCAGGATTGCATCCAGACGGTTCCTGAGTCTCTCCAGTGAGGGAGACTCCACAACCTTTCTGGGCAATCTGTTCCAGTGGTCGGTCACCTGCACAGGAAAGCAATTCTTCCTCATCTTCAGGGGGAATTTCCTATGCGTCAGTTTTCTTGCCTCTTGTCCTATCGCTTGGCACCTCCCAGCAGAGCCCGGCTGCATCCTCTTGACGTCTTCCACTTTAGATACTTAAATACATTGATAATGCCGCTTCTCGGTCGTCTCGAGGCTGAACAGGCCCAGCTCCCTCAGCCTTTCCTCACGAAAGAGATGCTCCCGTCCGTTAAACATCTTTGTTTACCCTCCGCTGGACCCTCTCCAGGTGTTCCGTGTTTCTGTCGTACTGAGTGGCCCCGAACTGGTCACAGTAATTTAAAAAGCACAAGTCAATAAATAAATGGATAAATAGTGAGAAAGGCCTCCGCCCGCCCGGGGTCGCGTTTTTGCGGTGCCGGTTCATGGGGCGAGCGGGCCGGGCCCGGCCGCGTGCAGAGCCGAGCGCGGCCGCTGGGGGCGCAGCGCCGCCGGGCCGGGCCCGCGCGGACCGTACCACCCTGCGGGGGCACCCCCGCCCCGCGCTTGGTTCCGCCGGCGGCCCGGAGCGGCGGTGCGGGGCTGGGGCCGGTGCCGGGAGCGGCGCGATGGCGGCGGCGGGGAGCGGCGCCTCCGGGAGCGGGATGGCGCAGAAGACGTGGGAGCTGGCGAACAACATGCAGGAGGCGCAGAGCATCGACGAGATCTACAAGTACGACCGCAAGCAGCAGCAGGAGATCCTGGCGGCCAAGCCCTGGACCAAGGAGTGAGTGGGAGCGGGGCGGCGGGGCGGGCGGGCGGTTTGGGCGGTGAGGAGCGGCCTGACGGGATCCCGGCTCTGCTTTCCCTTCCGCGGCCTCTGCGTTGCTGCAGCCACCATTACTTCAAGTACTGCAAGATCTCTGCGCTGGCGCTGCTGAAGATGGTGATGCACGCCAGGTCCGGCGGCAATCTGGAGGTGATGGGGCTCATGCTGGGCAAGGTGGACGGGGAGACGATGATCATCATGGACAGCTTCGCCCTGCCCGTGGAGGGCACCGAGACCCGCGTCAACGCGCAGGCCGCCGCCTACGAGTACATGGCTGCCTACATCGAGAACGCCAAGCAGGTAAGGACAAGTGGCAGGGGTTCTGACCGCCCCCCGTGGAGATCCTGTGCCTCTTGTGAGCTTCAGGAACATACCTGGGGCGTTGCAGGCTTCCTCCCTCCCCCAGTGAGGACGTGCCTGCCCGATTGTCCTGTCTCTCCTCAAACATGGCAGTAAGAGCTGTCCGCAGCACGGAACGCAGGGGCTTGTAAACATTTTCACATACATATTTCTCTGACTTAAAGTAGGTCATCAGAGGTTGGACACGATGATCTTGGAGGTCTTTTCCAATTTAATGGTTGGAAAGTAGTGCATTCTCTTTCCCTTTGTAAATTATTTTCATTGCTGAGGAAGTGTTCTTATGGCTGAGGCTGCTGGCTGTGTGAGATAGTGTGTTTCTAAAACAACTGATACTTCTTTCTAAAAACAGTATGCAGAATTAAATATATGTGTGCGTTGGACTACTTAGTATTTATAGATCAGAATTATGACATTTATTCTTACCTTCTGCAGTCTTAGTGTATAGTATGCTGCTCTTTTCCATTAAAAAAGAGCAGCATACTATATTCTTCGTATATTTGTGAAGAAAATGTCAGTGAAGGAATAAGTAAGTTTCAGTGAAAATTAATTATTCATATTTATCATTTGGAAATTTGGATTAACAGACTCGCTTGCCTGTTTCCCATCTTTGTCACTTTCTATTCAAAGAGCCATGTCATATTAAAGCTGACTATACAGTGAAGTTCTCATGTGCAGAAAGATAACAGAAATACAGCTCTGCTCTGTGGCTGACATGGAAACCAGCACAGAACATCAGAGCACTTGCTGATGTGCCTCTTCCAATACAGGACAATTCTATACTAGAAATAAGAGTTGAAATAACTTTAACTCTCCAAGCTCAAAGAGTTTTGATACCCAGTTGACCCATTTATTTTTAAAACAACTAAAATTAGAAACCCCTTACATACTAAGTAGATATAACAGAGGAGTATTTGGGTTCTTTTGGAGAGTTGGACTTATGTTCACAGGCTTACATAGAATTGAAGATACTGAAATGGATGTGCATTAAGCTGAATCATAACATCAGCAAAGAGTAAACATAATGCAGAAATAATTGTGTTCCCATTGTTTATGTTGTTCAGTTTTGTCGGTAGTTAGTTTCACAATTTTGAAAATGAATTTGTGTGCAAATAAAATATCTACTCTTCTGGTGCTCTGGCAGAGTTTTCACGCTGGCTTTCATATTTGATTTTGGCAAGCACTTGTTCCTGGAATAGCTCTTTTTATCATTAGGTGCTAGTTAATGTATTCTCCATGGACAGGATCTGGCCTTAATGTAGTTCAGATGTATCATTTGGCTTTGAAAAACAACACACGTTCTTTAGTGTTTTGTTGGTGTCTGTCATGCAAGCTGTAAAGATAATATAAATATTCTTCACTAGTTAGAAAATAAAGTAGGCAGTTTGTGTGTTTTGTCTCATTACCAGAGCAGCCAGTAAACAGTTCCTTAGAGAGGATTACAAAAATGAGGTTCAATGGGTGTTTATTCTCCTGGGTTTTTTTTGGCTTTGCTCCTTTCTCTTCCAGTATTTTTAGAGATAGCCAGCTGTGTTATTTGGAAACTCCTATTTTGAGGTTTTATCTGCGAAAAAGTTGTCCAAAACTCATCTTTTGGCTTTTAAACCGGTCTCCAGGCAATAATTTCTGTCACTTCTGGTGTTTGAAAGCATACCTTTGAAGTAATTTTTTAAACCTACCACTAATCTCATAGTATATGCCTGTGAGATATTTTACCATACTAAATGATTCATTCTCTACTGACGTTCTCTACATTATATGAGGCTATATATACTTGTGTTATATCGCTAAGAAATTTCTCAGCCCTGCTGAGCAGCTGCAGCTCACCGTCCAGCTGTGTGGAACCTCTTCTGTACTCCAGCTGTCACTGAAGAAGGACAGGCTCCTTGAAGGCCTTTGTTCTCTGCCAGCAGCTGTAGGAGAGAATGCCAGTGCTAGTCATTGTACGGTTTCTAGGGAATATTTCACCACGCGTGGAAATTCCCGTCTATCCTGCCGCGCCTTGCAGTGTGCTGGAAGTGCCACTGGAGGGCAGGCGGTGCTTTGGGAATGGAGCTGGACGCTGGAGCTGTTTCCCTTCCCTGCTCTTTCTTAGGTCGGACGCCTGGAAAACGCCATCGGCTGGTACCACAGTCACCCCGGCTACGGCTGCTGGCTCTCGGGGATCGACGTCAGTACCCAGATGCTGAACCAGCAATTTCAGGAGCCCTTCGTAGCAGTGGTTGTAAGTACTGGCTGGTGGGTGATAACCCTGCACAGCGCATCGTGTTGAGGGGAATAATTTTTGGATTTCTGTCTGTTAGCATTTTAGTAGTGTGTACTTTGTATGATGGAGGTGTTAGAGCCACACTTTAAAAGTGGTGCTGCTCCTGCTTTGCTGGCCAAATACTGGCCAAACCAGTAGTGTTGCTTGCCTAGACCATTTTCACTTCATTGTTTCAGTTAAGCATAAGGGGGTTTTAAGTATTTAGGAAGTAAGGAAAATTAGTTTGAAAAAATAATTCACTGAAGGCTATTGATACTCAAAAGAAAAAGTACTGTTTATGACAGAACTAATACAATTTGCATGAATTACTGAAATAAAATGGCTATAAACTTAATTTAAGCCTGTAATAAATAATAAAATATATGTAATGAGTATTACCTGTATTTCTGTATTTCTGCAGATTGATCCAACAAGAACAATATCTGCAGGAAAAGTAAATCTTGGTGCTTTTAGGACATATCCTAAGGTAAATAGTTAAAATTATCTAGTGTGTGAATACTGAACTGTCTTTATATGATTGTCTGAGTTTGGTCTGCTGTGCTGTACTGAATGTTCATTCCAAAGGAAGATGTGCATGTACACTGGTTACTGCATGCCTTTGGATATTGGATTATGTTTATAAAGGTTGACTTCAGGTTTGGTTTTCATAGAGTTTTGGCAGTGTTAAATCAATTACACTGTCCAGATTGTGGAGCTGTCCTAAAATTATGTAGCTCCCTCTAGCTGTCTTTTAATGGATACAGTTGTAGGTAGCGTGCATCAAAATTGTTTTATGTTAGTTTTTTTTTTCCTCTGTTTTTTTTTTTTAGACCTAAAACCAAATGTTAATAGGATGTTTAATATGTCATAATTTGCTTTTCATTTTAGAAAAGGAAGGTTCAAAACTACCTACTTAACTTTTTCAAATACATACTATGAATCTTCACAAACTAATGTACAAAAAAGTTAATTAAACAATATGGGTTAGGCTTAAAACTAAGAAATCACATCACTATTGGAGATGTAGGTCTCCAAATGCATCCTCTAATATACTTCTGGCTGTGCTATTTAATTTCAGTCCAATGAAGTTCAGGTGTATCTTTTAAATACCCAGTTATGAATGACTCATCAAGAACTTCAGACAGCCATCCAGTAAAACACTTACCAAAATTAATTGCTTAATAAAAATTAAGTTTTATAATTAACATAAATGATTGTGAGAGGTCCAGGCATTATTTTTGTGTTGACAAAAACTTAAGTTATCTTAGAACAGTTTGTGATTCAGGAGAACGTTCACTTCTGTGAGCAAAATCACTTCATAAATTGAACAAGAAGAAGAATCCTGTACCTGAAAACCAAATCTCATCTGGAAAATGCACATGAGAAGTATATTTTTAGGGAGTTCTCACAGTTGACTGCAGGCAGTTCTTGCTTAGTCAGTAGCTGTGAACAGCACCATCTTGACTAAACAAGTAACTGAAAGTTTTAGGTGTCTCTAAGGCATATCCATGGATGTTCCTTCCCTCTTCTTCAAGTCTTCCCTCAAAATTTCCAATAACAGGTAGAGAAATACTGTCTAAGAAGAAGCTTGCCCTTTCTTTGATCTAAGAAATGATCTAATCATAGCTTGCCATTTGAAAAAACTCAACTATGACCACTAATTTTCTTTTGATAAACCTACAAATGTAATGACTAGTACAGCTAGTAAAGCCAAAGAAAATTTCAAATTTCAGACTACCAGAGGAAATGTCATTTTCTCTAGACAAAAAAAAAAAAAAAAAAAAAAAAAAAAAAAAAAAAACCAAAAAAAACCCCAAAAAAACTAGAATTGCATAAACTAGAAGCTTTGTAAGTTTAGGCATTGTGAACAGTCTCAGAATTACTGTGTCATTTTTGCCATTTGTTAAATTTTTAGGGCTATAAACCTCCAGATGAAGGTCCCTCTGAATACCAGACTATTCCACTCAATAAA